GGAGCAATTTGAAACTATGCCCAAAGGACTATAAAACCTCTTTGACCTAGCAATACCACCACAAGGTCTGCTTCCCAAAAGAGATAAAAACAAAAAGGAAAAGGATCTATGTGTAGAAAAATATTTATAGATGCTGGTGGCAAAGAATTGGAAATTGAGGGGATGTCTATCAATCAGGAAGTGGCTGAACAAATTGTGCTATGTGACTGTGATGGAATACTATTGCCATAAGAAATGATGAGGAGGATGCTCTCAGAAAAACCTGGAAAAACTTGCATAAGCTAATGCGAAGTGAAATGTACTGTGCACAAAGTAACAGCAATACTGTGTGATGATCAGCTATGAATGACTTAGCTATTCTCAGCAATGCAATGGCTCAGGACAACTTAGAAAGACTTATAGTAAAAAATGCTATCTATCCCCAGAGAAAGAACCAATGGTGTCTGAATACAGACTGAAGCAGACTTTTTATTTAATTTTATTTTTCTTGAGGGGTTTTTTTGGGTCTGTTTTCTTTGACAACACGACTATTATGGAAATATTTTGTACGACTACATGTGTATAACCTATATCAAACTGCTTGCCTTCTCAATGGGGGGAGGAGGGAGGAGGGAGGAAGGGAGAGAATTTGGAACTCAGTTTTAAAAATGAATGTTAAAAAATGTTTTTACATGTAATGGGTAAAAATAAAATAATTTTAAAAAATAAATATCTATGCAAAATAATAGAATGACATATTACACTAAACATTTTTAACAAAGCAGAATCAGACAAATTAGGAGACAAAACAGTATACTCACTGGTTCTGCTCCCTCCACATTTTTAACTAGTCACTTTTCTATTTAGGTAGCTGATGCATCTAGGTTCTGTTAGAGATCATGGTCCTCAGTGTATGGCCCCTTGGGGGCAGGAGGGTCAGCACAGCATGAACTCAGACAACGCCATTCCACTGAGGGGGGCAGCCTTGGGACAGGCACCTCTCCAAGCCCTTTCGCTGAACCCTACCTGAAGTCCCACCTGTACCCTCCAAGCCAAGGTCCAGGCAGCACTGCATAGCCCAGGTTACCAGTCGCTGTGCCCAGAATTTCCAAGGAATGAGCCCTTTACCAGATGCTAACTCTCCTCCATGTTACATCACCCAGTAGATACTCCTTGAAGGTGACCTGTGCAAGCCACTCTCGGGACTTTTTGAGCCTTCTGACTCAACTGGGTAGAGCAGGTGCCCAGCAGAAGATGTTCCACACCAGGTGCTCCCTTCACTGAAATCACAGGTCCTTTTCCCATCCACCAAGTTATTTATTTATACCATATTTCCCATAATAGTTAATTTTTTAAAAAATAAAAATTTCATCATCCCTTTAAGTCTGTAAAATGGCCAACTGTCATTTTGACAGGTGATGCACAAATTAATTTGGGAAGCATTGACACTCAGGCATTAACTCAATGAGCCACATGCAAGGGATGCCCCCCTGCCCAAAGTTCCCACTATCTGGAGCGGGAAGGCCTCTACAGGGCCACCATCCAGGGAGAGCTGATTGTCCCTGTGAAAAGAGCCTTGGGTGGCATGGGGGCTGACTTCTGCCACCATCCCAAATGTTACCTGCCCATTAGCTGAGAATTCAGACCTAACGTGGGCTTCCCTGCCTACCTCCAGTCCTCCCCAAAGCCCTCCCCTTCCTTAGGCCTGCTTTTTCCAAGTAGATAGTCACAATAAAGACGGTGGAGATCATGATGGGACCAGCTGGGCAGGTGGACCCTCAGGCTCAGGAAAGTGGGGAGCACCTCCCAGGACACCCCTGACGGTTAATGGTTTGCTATCTCACTCATGCATTTCTGAAGCTACAGAGGAGAGGTAAAGGAGGAGCATCCCCGACTCTGCCCTACATGTAGCGAGACCACTTTTCTCCACAGCATCAACTCTTCTCTCAGATTAAGCAAGAGAAGTTCCGTGGGTTTGAGCTGAGGTTACCCAGAAAGAGCCTGGATCTGAGGAATGGCCCTTTGGACATTCTCCAAACAGTCAGAATGTGTATTTTTCCATGGACTTTGGTTCATCCCCTCTATTTGCTAGTCTATCCTTTCCCCACCCCAAACCATCCCCTGTAAGAAAAAGTAAAACTTCTGATGGTCAGGATGTGGCATCCCAGAGTCCCCTCTGCCCCTACCAAGAAGGGAGGGGGGTGCACGAATCCTCTTCTCCTGGGCCAACTCTCCCCTCCTTCCAACTGGACAGCCTTCACCTGGGCTCTTGTCCTTTCTCTTTTATCACTGTCTTAACTGTGCAGGTGGCATCAGGACCCGGTAAGTCTTCCATGCCTCTTTGCAATCAATGGAGTCACCATTTCTTACTGTTAGCTTCCGTGCCTTCACTGTGTTTGGCCACTCCCCAAATCAACAGACATTAGCTTTGTTTCCAGGGCTTTGCTATCACCAAAAAGGGCTGCCAGGAAGACTTTGGTGTGTTCCTGCCTGACTCAGACCTCCACTACGCTAAGCAGTGGGACCTCTGCTTCAGAGGTTATTTTTCTCACCTATAAGATTTATGTACTGTTTTTCTAAAAAAGAACCATGCTCAGACTCCTCCTAAAAACCCTATTTCGTTATACAGAATACAATATTTGATATGGACTCAAAAACAAGGTACCTTCTTTAATATACATTTTAAGCTAAAAAGGGAAGGAGAGACGGGAGAAACCTGGCTGTATTGGCCAAGCTAGACACACCACAGAGTGCAGTTAACAGTAACAGCCAGCAAGACACAAGCAGACAGTCCCTAAGAGGCTTGCTTGTAACCTAGGCAGATGGACAAATCAGACCAAAGACTGAGATGGGTGGAATGAGAGTTGGGACACCAGACAACAGGTGTCGCCCTTCGAGGCATGAGATGAAGTCGGGGCTACGGAGGAAGCAGTATGCCCTACTCCAAAGAAGGAAATCCTGGCACACAGGGAACGAAGCCGCCATGTCTATTAGGAAGGCGCGCTAACCAAAGGAATCCCAGGGGCCACAGAGCATCTTGCTCGCCAAGAAGCCGCCAAGGATGAAAGTCCTTGTTTCTGCTGTCTACCTCTTTGACCGGCTTGGGAGACATGTATACCTCTCCTCCTTAGTCTCTAGCAATCATTCCTGCTCTTTTGGGGCAAATGGGCGAGGGTTTCCTATGAATGTCAAAGTGGACGTGAGATGCAGAAGCTCTTCCCTCCATGCAAGCTGCTTCTGGCCAGAGGGGTTTAGGCTGGCCACGAGGCCTCCAGGGACCCGCCTCGGGCTGGTGCAGACCTTTGAAGGTCCTCCCCAAACACAGGAATTTCAACACCAAGCACTCTAAAGGTAGTGGAGACTCTCAAAATTGTGTCATCACTGTCTCACCAACACAACAGGAAGAGGTCTAAGTGTACAGGAAAAAGAGGGTGTCCTCCATCACCTGAAAGATGCTGCCTGGGCCCCACCCGTGAAAGAAGCAGCCTGAACAAGAAGATTTCTAGAAATCTCTTGGACCCACACACAGAGCCAGAGTCAGAGCTTGACACCAGGGGAAAAATAACTGGGCATCTGGTCTGCTTTCCTCGGGGCCCCACTCCCAAGCTCTGAGTTCTCGTTATGCAAAGGTTAACACAATTATGTTTCTAATGAGCTGCATGCTGAAATGGGGCATGTGTATATGTATGGGGGGGGGAGGTAGGAGAGGAGAGATGGAGGTGGGAAAGAGAGGAATATGGGACAGAGACAGAGGGAGGGAGGGAGGCAGAGGCAGAGAGGAAGAGAGGGAGGAGAGAAAGAGGGGAGAAAGGGGGGACACTCAGATTCAAGCAGCCTACTGACCACCCCACAGAGCAGGCTGCACACCAGACATCTTCCTGAGCCAGCCCCTTGCTGCATCCCAAGTCATTTTTGTCACCAGTAAGCTTGGGGCTGGGGCATCTCTCATACAGTCAGGAAGATTCAGGAGAAAAGGAGCAGTTTTCACTTAGCCTCCACCCCCTCCCCCCGGCAGGAAAGCGCTAAGATGAAGCCATAGCAACCAGGGCTAGGAGTGAAGCAGTGAGAGCTGAGGGTCAGGGTGGGCCACCAGCTCCTCAGAAGCCCTCCTTCCTCCCTGGTCAGCCCATGAGGAGAGGCCTTACTGGCCATGTGTCCTCCACACAGACGGCTATGATCCACAAGGCTGAGACATCTGCCTTGCCCCTACCAGCCACTGATTGGCCACATGGGGAGCTCCTCGGGTCTTTTCCAGCCCCCACACACCCCATGTCGTGGACACACGAGTCCGCCCGCCCTTGCACAGGTCACCCTGCCTGCCTGGAACACCCCTCATCCCTGTCTTCCTTCACACGGCCTCCGCTGTCCCCGGGAGAGTACCAGCTCCTGCAGGGTCAGAAGGGCAGGAGCCTGTTCTCAGCGCCCTCTGGGGAGCACACAGGCTGGCCTTCATCTGGGGGTCTCTCCAATCAAACAAAGAAGAGCCAGTTGGGAAGCAGCAGGAAAGGGACCCGGGATGGACCTCACACACTGACCAGTTCCGTCACCTTGGACAAGTCACTTCACCCCATCTGCCTCAGTTTCCTCGACTGTAAAACAGGTTGTGAAGCTCAAATGAGATATTGGTAAAGGACTCCGTGCAAAGCCTGGCACAGAGGAGGACCTCTATGAATGCGTGCTGTTGCAGCTGCTGCAGCCGCCACCATCACCACCACCACCATCACCATTGCTGCCGCCACTGCCGCCACCACCACCACCAGCTGGGAAAGGAAAGCAGTGAGAAACCAGAAGAAGCCGGGAGGGAGAGGGAATATGCTTCTCTATAAGCACTTCACAAACACGACCTCCCGGCATGGAGAGACGCATTGAGCTTCGGAGGAAGCAGACATTCACCCTCTGGCTTTCCTCCTGAGACCTGACCCGAGGCACTCTGTCTCCTTCCAACAAGGGCAGAATTCAAGTCGAATCAAGCCCACCACACACTCTCAGGAGACAACATTTCTTTAACTGAGCTCAAGACATGTTTTTCTTGTCCTCTTTATTCAAGTATTTCACAGCAGGTATATTACAAATTACAGTAAATGTTCAAAATTCCAGAAGTTCAAAAAATTAAATAATTTACTCCAAACTAATGTAAAATGAAGTCAAAATGCAAAACATCAATTTAACACAATTCCAAATCGAGCTACAGAATCCAAAAGAGACCATCACGGATGACGTCTACTCAAGTCTCCAAGCAGACTAACAGGAATGAAACCAAACAACAGGACGCCCAAAGCCTAAATAACCAAACGTATAAAATACAAAAGATGCAAGTACAAGCCCAAATTCAAGCTTACTTTGTGATTACAAAGAATAATTATACTTATAATGATGACAACAGTATCCAGCTACAGAACTCGACACTGAAGATACCAGCTGGATGGTTCTACGGCTGATTCACCAAAAACTTAATCAAGGAATGGGAAGACAAGGTATTACCACAACCCACCCCCCCCACCCCTCAAAGAAACCCAGTAAACCTATAAATACATTGGCATATGAGAAAAAAAAATCAAGTAACATACAAAGGACGCACCAACCCAAATTAACGCCAGGTGAGATCCCTGGCCACCAGGAGGGACCGCACACTGGACAGACCCAACAGCGTGCTGATCGTTTGCAATTTTCACAAGAGGAAGCAAGAGCAGAGGTCAATGTGCACAAAGTCTTTGCCAGACACTATGCAGCGAAGACCACGCTCACGTGAGTAAGCCACAGTGGGCACGCCTGGCGAACTCTGCCAGCTGCTTTTCATGATGGAACTATTCGCTATCTGTGACGGAAACCCACCGTGCGGCGGGGCTTCTGACAAAGACCGCATCTGCTCCAGGCTAGCAGGTCCCATCCCACTGTCCTTGCTCCCATTTTTCCACCCACATCTAAGAGTTAGATTAAGGTGAAAACAAAAAACAAAGCAACTTGATCTTTCGGAAGCATCCTAAAATCCTCTCCGTCAAACTCACTGATGGCTAGAATCTGGTCCATATAAACTGAGGAACTCATTGAAAGCCTGCAAGTTCTGCCGTTCACAAGCTTGGCCGTTACTTGAACAGAATGCTTCTGAATTAGTGAAACAGGAATCAAGGTTAAAAAAAATACTGCAGCAAGAACCTGAGACTTGCCAAAAACCCTTTTACCAGAAACTTGCTACAAAAATCTGCTACATTTTATTTCATCAAAGCTTCAAAGTCTGTAACAATTTTCATCAAAGTACAAAATGTTAATGTATTAGACAGTAAAATGTTTGGAAACGGTATGATGGTAATAAATACTAAAGAAAGCATGAAGATCCTCCTGGGAATCCCACGGGAGCTGCCCCCGAGCCCCCTCCAAAGGTCTGATTTCTAATCGCACTTGCCCACCTACAAAATACATACAGTGCTTGGACACAGGACGCATCTCGAGTGATGAATGCTACAAAGTCTGAGAGTCTCTTAGAACAGGGAGTAAGGAAACAAGTGGCATTGCAAAAGGGGAAAACCAGGTGCAAATGAGCCGCCCGGAACTCTCCGAGCACCCGTGCAGCGGGACCAACGGCGGAGGAGTGAGGACCTCAGACTGGGCTCCCGGGGGCGCCAACAGCCACGGCCACGTGGTCGGGGGTTACAGGGCTCTGTAAACACTAGTGGTTGTCAGATACAAAAAGCTGAGGTGGCCCCACGCCTCCGCTGAAGTCCCAGACTGCGAGAATGAAGCCCAAACACGCCGTGTGTTGCATATATGGGAAAGATGCACCCGTGGGGGGAAGGACGCTGATGAAGAAGGAGGTACCCTGGGCGCCTCGTCGGAGAACCAGGTGGCGGGGTGCCTGCCTGTAGGGGAGGGCCTGGAGCGTGTCCAATTTCTAGATGAGTTTTTTGGGCTCCTGACCCACAATCCATACAGATTTGTGAATGAGATAGATCTAAAACCAGCCCGAATCAATTACATTTTGGGGGGGGGAGGGAAGAGGGATGGGACACAGGGGAAAAAATGGGAGAATCGATTTCTGATTAATACTGTTTGTGCCTGGACTGTGCCGTGAGAGCTTCCGTGCAATGGGCGACGTACAGAAAAACGGGAGGGAGGAAAGGACACGGATGATACACACGAGACATCCTGCTGACCAATTTCCTCTTTTCTCTGTCCACCTGGCAAGTCCTGGCTTCAAAAAAGGGGGGGTTGAATTCACTCATCTTGGACAATTGATAAAGACATCACGGAGAGAACAGAGGGAGGCCCAAGCTGATTATGTTCTGGTCATCTGGTCAGCAACGAATGCAGAAAAGGGGTGTTTTGTTTTCCCAATGGGACATTTCTAAAAGAGAGAGACCGGACTACAGGAAAGAGTGGTCACCGTTCTGGTCAGTCAGGTGGCTTTCTGCATACCTGCTTCAGCACCGGCTTCCTCCCCTGCCCCCTTCCCGCAAAGCTCTCCCGGGAATCTGCTACAAACCCCCCATCTGTAGCCTTATCTTCCTCCAATGAATTAAAAGGCACGTTAAAAGCAATCCAAGAGAGCCTCCTGCTTCCCCAGCATCCCACCAGAACACACCGCAGCCAACACGAATGAGAGAAAGAAAGGGAAGGGGAGACGAGACCCATGGCTGCCCGCCATTCCCAGAACGGCCCCGCCCCCCACCGGGCCAGGCAGGGGGGACGATTTCTGTAGCACCAAAATCTCCACCGGTGACGTTGTGTCTTTGTGGAAATACAACATGTGCCTGAAGTTCGGTTTGGTTCTTGTAGGCTGGCTGGTTTCAGGTACCTGAGACAATAGCACCAAACGCAACAGAGGGAACGAGGGGAGCGCGGCTCCACCCAGGCCTGGTGCGATCACGAAGTGAATGGCTCAGAGAAGGCTGCGCGTGCCCGCCCACCCACCCGTCCGTCCTCGCGAGCAGCGTGGAGAAGGAGCAGAGCAGAGCAGGGCAGAGCGCTCAGAGGAACGTCTCAAACAGACGGACGGTTCTTTCCATCTCCTGCGGGTAAAGAGAGCAGCATGTCACCCAGCCAGCCACACCCCGATGCCCCATTTCTCTGCCTCCTCCTGAGGTCTGGGATCAAAGAAATGAGTCAAACCCTAACCCGAGAGGGGTGCCTCTGACTCTAATCCTAACTGTGAGCTAGTGACCAGAGAGAGCCCTGGCTCATCTCAGGTGGCTTGAGACAGGGACAGATGCCAGGGTGGCTGGGCACCTGCAATCCGCACCACTGCAAGGACCGCCCACAGACCCACAAAGGGCCCTAAGCACGGCGGACCTCTGGTCTGGGCAAACGTCGTATCTCCTGAGTCACCGGGGCCCTGACAGAGGCCAGCCCCTGGTCGTGGGTGCCCCCAGAGGCAGAGGGAGCCATGGCTCCAGCCTGTCTGCCTCTGTTTCCCTCTTGATTACACAGCACGGTTCTGGCAGTTCTGCCTCCAACTCTAGCCCTTGCCCTAAAGGCTATCCTATAGTGCCCTCCAAGACCCTGGGGGGAGTGCGGATTCTCAGCCCCTACCTCCACGAGGCGGGACTTGTCATAGTCTTTGCGATGTCGGTAGATGCACTGACTGAGCAGTGAGTACAGCCTCTCCAGCTGATCCACGGCCAAGTTGTCGCTTCTCTTGACCAGCAGATCCAGCAGTTTCTAGGGGAACGGGAGGGAGGCAGAGGGTGAGGGGCAGGAGAAAAGAGAGTGGCCCTCCCGCAGGGCAGAGGCAGCCTGCCCCAGCCGCACACTCACCTGCAGCCGCTCGTGGTCCACGACCAGGGGAGGGATGGGCTCCATAGGCTCCTCCGGCACCAGGTCCAGGCCAGCCATGCGGGACGGCTCCAAGACTAACTTACGGCATCTCTTGCCGCGAGCAGCACCTGTGAGCAGAGAGGAGAGGGGAAGGCAGGCCCAGAGACAGCAGAGCTCACGCTGAATGAGCAGGGGCCCCAGGGTGGCGGCCAGAGAGAGAGGGCTGGGACCAAAGCCCAGCCCACAAACCCCAAGGCAAGGGGGCCATGCCCACCTCCGACAGGAGCAATTTCCAGCTCACGTACCAAAGGGACGGGTCCGCGGAGCGCTTCAAAGCTGACTTGGCCACCAGGTCACTGGAGGCGTCTGCCCCTTCTCCTTTCACTCATCCTCTTTAGTGAGGAAGGCATTAGGAAGCCAAGATCAGGTAGGAGAAACTGAGGCACTCGAGTCCCTAGCACATATGCCCTGCATTCACCAGAACCTCTCCTCCCCCTGTAGAGCCCCAGGGGTCATGTCCGCGCCTTCACTGAAACCCAGGCATTAGGGCAGGCTTCCTGCACGTGGTTTTTGACACCATCAGCGAAGGAGACCCGCCCCTGGAACAGCCCAATGTAAGCAGGCAAGTTCTCTGAGGAAATGAATTCCAAGAGCAGAAAATGACCTTCCACCCACTTAGAAGAACCCTAAGGTATCAAGAATACATCTCCTTCTTACCAAACCCTGACCCAAAACCCACAGGGAAGAGCCAGAGCCATTCGGGTCTGGCATGGATGCCAAGGGCCCTCCCCGGGCTCTGCCACCTCAGCCAGCCGGCTCCTGTGCCCTCGGGATGTGCTCCCTCTGCCAGTCTGTCCCCCTGTACACTGCTGTCCTGTTCTCTAGCTCCCCAACACCCTGCTTTGGGGGAACACAGCCAGAGAGAAACCCTGCAGCAGGAACCTTGGACCTACCTTTCTATCTGCTTGCCAGCTAATGACCTCACTGATTAACCACCCCCCCACCCCCACCCCCCCAGCGGGGGGGGGGGAAGGGGGAGGGAGGTGGCAGGTGTGTGGCCCCTTGAGCAGGGAGCAGGATTTCTCTGAACAGGGCTTCGTACACAGTAGGTGTTTAATAAATGTCTGGTTTGTTCCCTCACTGAGACCCAGAAAGGCCGGGAGTCATCTAACCTATCTTTCCCCCACATCCAGGTGCACGTGCCTGGCAAAAGCTCGCCCAAAGCTCGGACCTCGGCAGAAAGGGCCCGGCTGGGATCCCCGAACAACCTGTCAGTCCAACCCCAGGCAGTCAGAGTGGTCTCGTCTCGTGAAAGCAGCGAGCCAGCTTCCCACCGCTGCACCGACAGCCTCTTTCAGGAGCTGTCTCCTCCTTTCTTCCCCTCTCCCCAGCACTAACTCCACCTGCTCCCCACTTCTCTCCCACCCCCCGGCACTCACACAAACATCAGTCACCCCTCACTGATGCAGCTGGCTTGGGAGGGAAGCCCCTGGGGGTCCATATGCCAGACCGTCCGAAGGCCGTACCTTCTTTATCGGGCTCCGACTCTTTCCCCTCGAGGTCCAGGCTGTGCTCAGCCAGCTCGTCACTGAGGCTTGGGGGGGCCTCGGGACCAAGTTGCTTCTCAGCAAAGTTGTCCCCTCCGGGATTCTCCTGCGAAGTCTCTGCTTTTTCTTCCGACGGCTGCTCCAGAGGAGCCTTGGGGGCAGCGACCCCAGCTGGGCCGTCGAGGGCAGCCTCGCCGTTGGGGAGGGGTTCCTCCTTGGGCTCCAGCTCTGGCTTTAGCGACGGGCCACTGCTGTTGGCCAGCAGGGACTCGTTGGAGCTCTCCTCCTCGGTGGAGGCACGGGGGCCGTTGTCGAGCCGTGGCTCTGGCTCCAGGTCCATGACGTCACAAGACGATTCGTCGTTGGTCATGGACAAGTCCCCGGTCTCCTCTCCGTTCTCCTCGGGGCAGTCCGGGCTAACCTCAAACTCGCCGTTCTCAAGTGGCTTCCTGCCCGCCACGGCACCGTCGTAGTCAGCAAACTTGCCGTCATCCTCGTCTTTCTTCAAGTTGTTGGCCTTCCTCTTCTTGATGATTCCCTTCCCCCACTGGGAGCGCCGCCTCGACTTCCTCCGGACCCGAACTGGTTGGCGGAAAACACAGGCAGGCATCAGACAGCAGACAGGGGGACTGAGCGGGAAGGACCCTGCCCTCCTGCTGAGGCACTGCCCGACTGCCCTAGTCATGTGGCAGGAGGAGAGGAAAGGTGGAAAGGAAGCTTTCGGGGGATTCAGTCAGAACAAATAAAGGGTCTTTAAATCCAAACCCCTGACACCTACAGACTGGTCTGTCACAGGCCCCTCCTAGACAGCAGACTTTGCTTTCACTCTCAGAGAGATCAGGGAGCCGGTTTCTGGCTATGCAGAACCGGCCCTGAATCCTGGTAGCCTCCCTGCTCCAACTCTTGACTAGCCCCCAAGGAGACAAGAAAGGGCCCCCATCACCTCACAGGGAAGGCCATCTGAGCTCCAGGACCTCAGAGGTCAGGCGGCCATCCACCGATGAAGGAGGAGTCAGGCTCGGAGCCAGGGCCAGGGTCTAGAGGCACTCAGTTTCTTCTGTCCCTTGGTGGCCCACCTTCCCACCCTCATCCTCACCTATGACCAGTCCATGAGAGGAGGGAGAAGTGTTCACCTCTCCAAGGGCACCCCTTCTTTCCAGCTGCCTGCCCTCCCTACACTAGCAGATATCCCCAAGAGAGGTCCTTCCCTGCTCTGAAGGGACCCTTTGGGGCAAATCTCATCACCATGCAAGAGACGGAGAGCGTGGACCCCAACACATCCCTGGGCACAGCCAGTGGTCATTCTCTGTGCCAGTCAAAGGTGGCGCCACCATCACCGAGTCACCATGTGGCTGAGTCTCATCAAAATAAAAAAAAAAATCCAGAGGCCGTTGGCCCTAAGCCTGGCAACGGATGAGCTCTGTGCGCCATCTACTGGTGAGAAAGAGAGAGAGAGAGGCTGGGCACCTGCCTGGGCAGAGAAGGCACCAGCCAGTCTCTGGTCTGGAGCATGAATATATGTCACTGCTGAGTGCACTGGCCAGCCTCCTCTTTGTACAAAGGGGAACAGTGTGCTCTGCGCTCAGGACCAAGGTGTGCATAATTCTCCATCTGCCCTCTGGAAGGGGAGGGACAAGGAAGATGACCCCACAGGTAAGTGAGGCATGTTCTGAAGTGCCGCCAGACTAGGGCCCGAGCTGCCTCCTGACACCTCCTTCCCCGGCCCCGCCCAAGAGGACGGCAGACTCACAGGCACATTTGTTTGCAGGGTGGTGCCAGACATCTAGAGGATGTCTCTGCTTACTGCGGAATGCCTCCTCCGTTCTCGTTTCTGTCCTGCGCGCCACGGATCCAGGGGGACTGATTTGTTCTGCGGTCACCGGTAAGCCTGCAAACAGAGAAGCAGCTGCTGCATCACCCTGGCACCTGGCCACCCCTGCCGGCGGCACCAAGGTGATTCCCCTTGGCCTAAAGGCTGCCTGTGGGTCCCAGGGGCCCAGCCAGCCTCAGACTGTCTGGAGGGAATGCTGCCACTGAGCTGAGAATGAAAAGCCGGCGTCTACTCCCATTCCTGTTAAAGGCGTCGCTGACAAGCCCATCGTCACGGTGCTGGGGCGGCCGTGGCCATGGCCAGCAGCCCCAAACTCACCTCTTTTCCTTCTGGATTCCTTGATCTCTTCACAAAGTTTGTTGAACTCCGGGTCCAGCTCAGCAGCGATGATGGCATGGGCAGTGTCCTTCAAGGTGCATGCCCTGTGCCTGATGATCTTGTCTGTGAAATGAGCAGAGGGAGAGTCGGTGCCCGGCAACGTCCCCGAGAGCCTGCTCTGGGCTCAGCACCCTGGACGCAGCCCGTTCAGCCCTGGTGGTTTGCCCGCCATTGCCACATTCGGCTGTGCGCTCTGCAAGGGCAAGGACCACACTCTTGACTTTCCTCGTGAGCCTGGCACACACACGGTGTGTTTGGCAAATGTCTGGTGACTTGACTGGTTCTGCTCTTCCATCTTGTAACTAACACCAAAGGGCTTTGATGATGACAACCCTTCCCGGGTTACTCCAGAGCAGTCTGGTTGTCAGCAGCTTGAGCTGGGATCACATTCAATTCTAATTTCAAGTAGACGGCATGCCATTTCACTAATAATGGAGCCCAGCCATGAGCAATCCCTCTAGTGATTTCAGCCATTTTTCGTTTGTTAAAGACTTTTGCTATTATATCTTGAAGTCTTGGGCCTGACTTGGGGGTCACTGACTCAATCATTAAGCACCTGCTCTATGCCAGGCACTGTACTAAATGCTGCCCTTACAAGGAAGGCAGATGACTGGTCCTTTCCCTCAAGAAGCTCACATTTAATGAAGAATGCTAATGAGATTGTCATGTGACAGATGAGGAAACTCAGGCAGTCTTGCCAAGGGTCGTCACACATGACGCTGTCTTCTGAGTCTGGGCAATCTCGCTGGCTCTCCCTCCTCACTCCTGCATCACTTCCCTGGCTCCCTTCAAATCTCAGCTAAAAATCACCCTCTGTGCAAGAAACCTTTCCTGATCCTTTTTAATGCTAGTGCTGCTTCCCAGTTCCCCCTCCCCAACCAGGTGACTGTTTCCAATTTCTCCTTTCTCCATCATGTTCATACTTTGTCTTTTGCACACTGCTTCCCCCATTCAATCGCGGGCCCCATGAAGGCTTCTGCCTTTCTTTGCATCCCTGGTGCTTAGGACAGTGTTATGTACACAGCAGGCATTTAATAAATGCTTGCTGATTGACACCGAGCTCAGGGGACAGTATAGGTCTAGACCTATGAACTGGAGAATCATTTATTGAGAGATGATCTCTGAACCCACTGGAGCTGATGAAATCACCAAGAGAGACAGTCGGGAAGAAGAAGAGCAGGGCCCAGGCCCATGCCCAGGGGATGACCACAGGAAGTCGGCCATGCGACTCTGGAAACTTATGGCCTGGTTCTCCTTATGGCTGGGGGCCTGGCTCTGTCCTAGGCTCCAAAAGCAATAAGAAGTACCTTCTCTTGGCACGTTGGGCATCTCTTTCTGCAGTAACCTTGATGGCAAATGTGCACCAAAGAAACCTATAGTTTTTTAAACTGCGGCCAAAGAGCATCTCAGGCACTGACATCTATCACTGAGGACAAAAAGGTCAAGAAATTCTACCAAGAAAGTGTTGAGGTCCTTAAAATTAAATCAATGTAGGCTTAACTTGCGAGGGCAGGTGTGAGGGAGGTCAGAGAAAATGCACCGCCGAGCACCTGGTGCCTCAGCAGAGAAACCTCTCTCAAACACACAGTGCTCTGTGCACAAAGCGGGCACAATCTCTGCCCGCTGGGAGCCTCCACGTAGAAGAGGGGAGTGTACATGTGCGTGCACATGCCTATACACACATGGTAGCCTGACTAGGTCTTAGGGCCCTCTCCTGGGGATCAACACTACTGCGGCAGGGTCACGCTATAGCACGGCCCTTGCTCATGCCATGATTTTCCTGCCCTCTCCTTCATGAACAACCCTACCCCACTCACAATCCACACCCTCAGAATCTCAGTGTTCCCACACTATTCTGGGAAGCCCTCCCCCGGCCCCTCCGCTCCCCACCTCTGGGGTGCGTGTTCTCTCGCCCCTCACCCAGCATTGCTCCTTCTGTCCCATTTTTTTACTTCAGGGTCTACAATGCCGGGTGTGAGGGAGACGCTGGGCAAATGTCTGTTGAACTGAATTCAAAGGCAAAGCGAGGAGGCCCTGGGCACGAGGAGTAATGTCACCCAGAAATGAAAGAATCACAGCCACACGAACCGACCATTTGTGCTCACCCTTCCATGGCCTGCTGGTACCCAAAGACAAGACCCACATAAAATTATAAGAAAACAAAGATGGGAACATGTACTATGCCATCTTGACCCACCAAAACGGAAAAATTCAAAGCCATTCGAGTCCCTAGCCAAGGACCCATGGGACCACCTTTTCCTTTCCTGCAGGAGCTTGATCAGTGTAAAGAGAAGAGGGTAAGGGGAACTCAACTAAACCAGATCTTCCCGAGAACCCCTGAGGATGAAAGTGGACAAAAAGATCTGTCTCACTTGTGCTAAAAAGCTTCCTACAACAGAGACAGTCCCTCCTGCCCTTGCCATCCCCAGACTCTTGCCTGCTCAGCCCCAGGGAAAGCGGAGCGGGCTGCAGCAGCTGGCCCAGACCAAGTACACTGAAAGGGGGCCCATGCTGGCACTGATACTTATCTCAAAACTCACACAAGCACCAGGAAAAAGAGCACATCCCACCCTCGGAAAAGACAAGGAGGTTATCACTATGGAAAAAACAAAACAAAACATCAGTATGAGTAACCCACCGCTTTCTCGATCACTCAAAAATCTTTCTTGGGATCATTTGTCCACAGATGGACGAAGGGAGAAGGGGTCAGGCGGGCTTTCACAAATGACTTGCTACAGAAGACAACAAAATTACAGTCCCCCCAAGATCCCAGTACACGTCTCTGTTGACCAGAAAGCAGCATCCGACTTAGGACAACAAAAGGGCAAAAGACTTTCAGCTCCCAAACGTATAGGACCTTGAGAGATGCCACCCTGGAGCCAATGGCTACCAACATAATGTCAACTGAATACAATCCAAGAGGAAGATAAGTGGCACCCAAAGGGGCTGGCTACAGTCCAAGAATATGTCCTAGGTAAAACCCAGTTGGAAGTCCTGGGCATCTCTGGAGCTTCCAGAGGCTCTGGTCTGCATGTGGTATTTGCCAAGTACATCCAGCCTGAGAGCATCTCAGAGTTTCCTGACTGGGACCCACAATCACTCAGGCTGAGCTGACTCAGCACACAAGAGGAGCGTCTGCGGTCCAGGGGATGTCAATCAGCGCACATATCATGGACAGGCACTGCAGATGAACAACATACTGAAGGGCGACAGAGAGAATGTTGGGAAACAACCCCAGTGTTCTTCCTGAAACAAAGGACCATCTTTGGAACCCCCAAGGCAGAAATACGGAGTGAAAAGAGGGCTAGCCCTAGGGTCAGGAAGCTCAGCCACAGCCCATAGAGTAAGCGGCAAATGCAGCCCTCAAGGCTCTGACTCTCCACAACTCTGACTGGTCGCTAATAGGCATCAGTCAAAGAAAATGTCTACACTAGGGACACAGAGTCCCGTGTGACAGCATGGAGAGCCACTAGCTGGCTGCAGGAGGACAAGGGGGAGGCCCAAGCGCTCCCCCCACCCCGCCCCAGTTCTGCCTGACTCTCCTGGACCCCATCTGAGGAAGGCTACTCCCTAGAGCAGCAGCCTCCAAAGTGGAGAGGTGTGGGAAGAAAACATCAGGATCTCTGCTTATACTTACTGTGAATCTCAACGAAATGAAAACCCAAAAAGCCAGGGGAGCTTAGACCTCTCAAAACATTTAACAGCCTGTCTCCCCACACATCAGACAGCTCCCCATCACGTACACCAACGAACCACCATGAAAAGCAGTGAGAGTCCCATCCCCTGAAGGATTGAGAGTGGGGCCTCGCCGGGTCCATCGTGGCCTCCGGCAGGTGGCACTATGAACAGTCTGACCTCGTCTGAACTAAACCAGCCCTGCCCTCAGAAACAGGACAGGCAACTTAGAGACGACTGCAAGGACACTTGAGATGGATGACGACACCGATCAGGCAAGCTCAAGTGAACAAGAAAACCGCCCAGCCGACATTCCTCCTCCTTCTTCTTAGCCATCGCTACCTCACAAATTAAAAACAAACACAATCAAATCAGGCTGGATAACGGGGCCAAAAAGCCTCGGAAAATACTCACAAGTCCTATGAGGAATATGAATTTCTCCATCCACAGTCACTAATGGCTAACCTCCCCCTGAGTGCTGAAGCCAGCATTTAGCATTTAAAAAGAAAGCTTTCCTGCCAACAATGTTGTGGTTGGCCAACATCCTGATACTTTAAAGAACTTGGAAGTCAAATTCTCACTTGTTTCAACCTCTCCCAAATCCAGTGCTTTACTGGTTTAAAAACACAAAACAAAACTCTTTCCCATCAGTTTGCCAAACAACTGAAAGGTGTCTAGGAAGACAGACACAGACTAGCTGAATTTCAGCAGATCGTCTGTCCACCTGGCAGCTGGGACCCGCCAACTAGAGAGCATCTCAATTGACTGTCCCCAAGAACATGACACATAGTAGGTGCTCAACAAATACTGATGGCCTGATTAGGCTCTTTTATCTTGACTAGGGGTCTTTTGCAGCTCTGACACTAGTAAGAACCAAGGACAGGGCCAACAATAAAGCTTCACCACACTGCTCTCACAAAACCTTTTACCAAAATTTCAGTGAGAACAAAAAAAGGTTTTCTGCATAAATTATTCTTTAAATATTGCTCCCTTAACCCTTCACACCTAAACTGCTATTTTGGGTATATTCATGAGGAACAGAGCACCTTGGGGCAGCAGTCCAGATGCCAACGGCTTTCCCACCCCCTGAGGGACAGCAAACCAAGATGGGGCCCAAATCGCTGACACACAATGATCAGCTGGAAGCCGTGGGGACAGTGAGCTCACAGAGGAACCTGACAAAGGGCTCCAACCGGCAGGAGGAGGGAGGGGAGAGCCCTGGTGTGCTCTGGCGATGGGCCACTCAGGGGGGTAGGCACGCTCCTGTCTCAGGCACTCTGCACTCTGGGCTCTCTCCGGGCCACTGATCGTGGATTGGCATGGCCCCAGAAGGATCCAAGGAGGGGTCACGCACTCGCAAGCCACGGACATCACATCACAAGCCAGAGGCCGGCACCGGAGGGAATGAGTATACGCGTGGCTCACATTTATCCACAGAACATGGCCCCCAGTGGCCACGACAGGGGCAGGGATATCCAGGGGAGCAGCTCCTGGGCTAGTCTGAGAGGTGGGAGGAGCTCAGGGAGGAAATGGAGGCAGGGGGTGGCCCCGCACTCAGCCCGAGCGTGAAGAACGCCCTTTCCCAAGGGCCTAGAAGCTCCTAGACCACACGACTCCCCACAGCCTGGGACAGAGCACTCCCAACCACAACCCCCTCTCAGTAATCTTTCCTCTTCCATGGGAAGAGATGGCTTGGGAAATAAATCATGGCTTTGAACTAGGACATGCCCAGCACAACAACAGGCATCTTCTCTTACCTCTCTAACACAAACCACTAGGGAAAGCACACTTACTAAATGCCTACTAAGCGCTGGGGATACAGAGAAAAGTACCAACAGTCCCCGCCCTGGAGAAGCACACAGTCTGCAGGGGAGACGACGAGTAAATACCTACGGACAAACTCAAAGACAGGATGGGCAGAGAGCACAAAGGGAGTCTGGGAGAGGCCAGGAGGCAGAACTCCAGGCATGGTAGACAACCAGGGAAAAGATGAAGGAGTCCCAGGATGAAAGGCCTGGTGTGAAGATCAAGGGGCTGCCCTCTGGCAGCTGAAGGTCAGCAGGAAGGGGAAGGCTGGGGGATGGCAGTTAACAGAGATGCTTTCAGATGGCCAAATGTAAGCAATGCTAATTCTCTAATTATGTTGACCAAGCTAGAAGTTCTCTAAGTGTTTAGTGACAAACAACGCTGTTTTCAATTAATTAAAACCATTTCTCAGCTGAAGGAAAAACCAAGATGCAAGATAAGGAGGTGGGTGAGCCCACTGGACAGCCTGGGAGTGGCCCTGGGACAAGAGGAGGCAAAGATGGCGGCAAGTGGCCCTGGAGGTTTGCCAAACTCCTTGTGGCCACAACTGACTGCAACGGAAAAGAGCTGAGGAGAGGCTCCTGGGCTCTAGCCCGAGACCCCCACAAGCCAGCTTCATGGGCCCACCAAAAGGCATCAAAGACACAGTTTCATTTGAGACTCAAAAGCCCTGAGAAGCAAGTCCTGCCCCATGACCTGGGGCAAGCCACCACCTCTGAGCCTGTTTCCTCATCTATAAAATGGGGACGATAAATTGGCCCTCGTGGCTACTATAAGAACTGTACAATTATGTACCATATTGAAATTACTGGTTTAGCTTTCTCTAGATGGGCTCATTTTTGTCCCCGGTGACCAAGAGTTCAGGAGGAAAACACATTTGCGCCACTGAGTCGTCAAAGTGACACCCCAACCATCTGCAAGCCAGACCCACCGTGAGCATCTGGGCTTCTGAGAACCAAGCTAACCTGTACATGGGTCTGAAGGAAACGGACTGGTTTTACCCCCTGCTTTCTGCACTGGGAAGGTGGCAAACAGAGCAGATGCTCAGGGGCTACCCTAACGGTGCCCATGAGAGAAGACCACATTCAGGAAAGGGGCAGGAGAAGGATTTTCTGCAAACAAAACCAGTTTTGTTCTTTGGGATAACACAGACAATGACAATATGGCTATTACTAGTTGCTCCACCAGAGGAAGGCAAGCCCACGAATGGGGTGCTCTTCCATTGCCCTCCCCAGCCTGCACAAGACCCGCTGTTGTCAATCACGGCCCTCACCGGGATGCTGTTGTAAATACCCCTCCGGGCAGTAGAATGAAGCCACAGGGATCACCCAGAAGTACCCACATTAAAGTAAGCTATTCTAGGGCACCAGCGATTTATAGGCTAAGCGAAAGACCTCCTCTCCAGGCTCTGTGTTTTTAAATGCTTTGCCTTTTCTCAGGAAAGGAAGTGACAGCTTTTCAACTGGGATTCATTTAGCTGAGAAATCACCCAGAAAGGACCCACTGTCTACAATCATGTCCTCACCATACCATGGCCCCATGCCTCAGAACCTAGGTGACTCTGTTTCCCCCTCTGTTCCTTTCTTTTAAGGGTGCTGTTAATGCCTCTGGACATGACTACAGAAAATAAGAGCAGCCCACAAGTGGCTCTGCTAGCATGCCCACCCCCTTTGGGGGCTCAACTCCCTCCTTACCTCCAGGGTCTTTGTCTGGGTTATACTCTAAAGCGTTGTTGCAGATGAGATCGATGTCATTCAGGAAATCTTTAGCAGTTAAATAGTTATGTTTATCAATCCTGGTAATGACAGTGGATAAGTCCATGGGCTCCTTGATCACCTCCAGATAATCAGACACCTAGAACAAGAGGGCGCACTCAAGCAAAGATTTTCCCGGACTCTGCAGTCTGCTCCTCCAGACTCCCCAGGAAAGAGAGCAGCTCCAGAGTCTGGGGACAGAGGACTGACCAGGAGCTGGGTCGAGGCTCTGCCGAAACCCAAGTGGGCTCAGCACAAAGGGCCGGGGTAAGGACCAGCTCAGACATCTGCGCCAGGAACTAGAGCAAATGCCGTCCCCGACCCCCAGTCATGGCCACTTCTCAAAATGACTCAGGGCACAGCCAAGGGGCCTACCCTTTGGAGATATTACAGGAGTTCGGCCCCCTCCCCCACCTGCAGGCCACAACAGCCTCCTCGCCTTGAAGGCATCAAGTCTTGGCTTCACCACTGACCTGGGGCAAGTCAACCCCCCTTCATGCTGTGGTGAGGGTCTGGGAGAAGAGGTGCCAAGTGCTAGACACGAAGTCTACACTCTTGTGAAGGTGGGAAGCCACCTGCAAGATGGCACCCTGCCACCCACACATATGTCTTCACAAGAGGGCAGCTCTCAGGCCAGGTCTTGTGCAACCATTAGAGACAGGATAGAAGACCTTTGCTCTGGATACCAGATGAAGGGCTAATATACCCACAATGGTGCCCTGGGGTATACCAGAGCACACTTCTCTCCTAACAAGAAAGTCATTCACTCTCCCTAGAGCCCCTCAAGGAGCTCATGTTGAAAACTGAATTTGAACTCTTTTCTAAGGGCTTGGCTGAAGATGTGAGAAGTTCATATTAGAACACGCAAGGGCCTTTATCCTCCAGGTGACCTCTCTTGCAATTCTCCCCTGGGACCAGAAGGCATGTTTCCTGCCTCTGACTATTGCTAATGAGGTGAGAGAAGACAGATCACTACCTGTCTGGGAAATGAACCTTCTGGGAAAAGGTCCTGATAACCCCTGCATGTGGCGGCTGAGAACGGGGCTCCAAAAAGGGGAGCAGAGCTCAGGGACACATTTCCTTCTGTTCCCCCCTCCCTTTCCATCTTTCTTCTCTCTCTCCCCATACTGCTATCTCTCTCTGTCTCCTTCCATCTCTCTCTTTCTCTCCCCTCCCAATCTCTCTCCATCCCTCTCCCTCCCCATACTGCTATCTCTCTGTTTCCTCCTTCCATCTCTCCATCCCTCTTTCTGTCTCCTTCCATCTCTCTCCATCTCTCTCTCTGTCTCCCCTCCCAATCTCTCTCCATCTCTCTCTTCTCTGTCCCCACACATCCATCCACCTCCCACTGAGACTCCAGGAGCATGCTAGGAGCTAGTGAAGAAGGAGCGCCTTGGGAACACAAAGCAATGCTCGCCCACAGCAGCAGCAGTAGGGCCCGATGGAATCCCAGGGGAAGTAGCTTCCTTCCTAGTCTGCTATCCCGCCTTCCCCAGGATGTCCCAGACTCACACTCCAGCCAGCCAAGCCTGCCAGAAGGGCAAAGAAGGGAAAACCCTCTGCAGAAGCTGTGCTGACTCCACAGCCAGCCAGGGGACTGGGCACAAGCAGGGTGGCCCTGTTGGGTGTGATGTGCGGGCAAGTGCCCCTACTTCCTCCAAATCCCCAGCCCTGACGGCAATGGTCTCAGGCCAAACCCCACACAGAGACTCCACCCTCAAGGGGCTGCAGAGTCATAAGAGCTAAAAGCCCCCGGAAACAACACCAATGTGCCCTAAAGGGTCCCAGGGGGACATCCCAGAAGTGGTGACGAAAGCCAAGGGAATAATCAGTCAAAAGGAGGAGTGAAGGGTCTGCCCCCTTCCCAAACCAGGTAATAGCTCCAAAGGACAGAAGCTCGGAGGGAAGACACTGGAAAACAACTACCCCAAGCCAAAGACACAGCTATGACAAGAGACTGCACAAATATGACACAGAAGAGGGAGGGGGGGAGGAGGGAAAAAAGGAAGGGAGGAGGGGGGGAGGGAGAAAGGAAGGGAAGGGAGGGAAGGGAGGGAGGGAAGGGAGGAAGGGAGGAAAGGGAGAAGGAAGGAGGGAGGGAGAAAAGGAAGGAAGGAAGGAGGGAAATAAAGAAGAGAAAAAGGAAGGATGGAAGGAAGGAGAGCGGGATGAAGGGAAGGAGAGAAGCAAGGAAGAAAGGAAGGAGGGAAGGGAGGGAGAACCACCCAAGATGTTCAAACATGGAGTCTGAACGCTCAGAAGAGGGTCAGCAGAGGTGACCTCAGGTGTGTCCAAGACAGAATCTCTTATTCCAGGATAAAAGCTGTAATTAAAATTACTACTGAAAAATCCAAGTGGAAAGCTTCTTGCACCACCACCACCGGTCGCCCTCATACAAGGCCACAAATGCAGGCACGCACACACGTACACAAACACAGATTAAGCACCAAGGCGTCAGAAACTTTCCACTGGGAGCAGAGAAGCTGCACCCGGCCGACCACAGCAAGCCGCGAGAGGCTGCAGGGAAAAGCGTCCTCGCAGGCCGGGCCCAGCCGTCCCCACTGCCGGCCTCCTGCCACAGGGCTCCGGGCCTGCCCTGCCTCCCCCTCCCCTGCCCGATGCTCTTCCTGGATGAGATTTATCCTGGAATAAACCGCATCTAGTGTGGACAGCTGCCCAAAGGAATTTGGAATGGCCAGGTCATGGTGAGACTGTGGTTTAAAGTGCCTCAGACCGCGCCCAAGAATCCATCAGCAGACAGGGGCTGATGACGAGAACGGATGGCCACAGAGGGAAGCATGTGTCCATGCCTTCTTTTTTTCTAATCGTTTTCTTTTTAGGCAGTTCAACTTCACTGTTTGCACCCCACTACGGAAACAAGACCTCTTCAATATCCACCGGTTTGCTGAAGATGCTAAAGCGCTTGTCTGTGGCCAGCCTCTTGGTCACGTCCCTGAGAAACAGCCGCAGCTCCCGCAAAGTGTTCTCCTCCTGGTCCTCCATGCGGGTTTTCTCCGATTCCGACAACTGGCGGGATGGAGAAGGCAGTGCCAGAGGCAGCACCTCCATAGCATACAGAGCTGAAGACAGCAAGAGAAGAGGGGTGTTCACGGAGAGCCGGCCCAAGGGCACCCCAGGACCCACCCATCAGGATGCCTGGACGCGTCACACTCCCAGTCACTGCCCAAAACACTGTCCTAGGATGGCCCTGCCCGGGAACCGCATGAGCAGTCACCAAGGGACCTGAGGGCCTTTCTCACAGCCTGGGAGGGAAAGAATCTCATGATTCAATTCTGCACGTGAGTACCCAGGGCGGAGGGGCCACAAGCTGGCAGTGGGAAGCAGGACTCACTCCAAGTCACAGGAGAAGGGCAAATGTGGAACGATGAGAAGAAGGAAGCCCACATCCTCAGACCCAGCCAACGCCACCGCTGGGCAGAGACCCTGAGGGGACAAGGCCAAGAGCGCCCATCTCCCACTAGTGAATGAATGGCAGGAAACCAAGCGAGTGCCATGAGCTCCAGGCGCCCCAGAAGAGGAGGAGGGTGGTAAGGATAGAAAAGCAGGAGGAGGGTGGTAAGGATAGAAAAGCAGAGTGTGGTGGCGGGGTGGTGGCCAGGGCAGGGCCCTCTCTCTCTCCCTCTTCTCTCCCTCCCCATCTCTCTCTCTGTCCCCATCTCTTCCTCTCTCTGTCCCCTTCTGTCCCTCTCCTCCTCTCTGTCCCCGTCTCTCCCTCTCACATCCTCTCTTCCTCTCTCTCTGTCCCCATCTTTCTCTCCCTCTCTCCTCCTCTCTTCCTCTCTCTCTGTCCCCATCTCTCTCTCTCCTCCTCCTTTCCTCTCTCTGTCCCCTGTCTCTGTCTCTGTCTCTCTCTCTCTCTCTCTCTCTCTCTCTCTCCCCCCTCCCCCTCTGTTCTTCCCCTCCCTGCCCCCTTGGTACACTGAGCCCCAACACCTCTCTCTGTTTCCCCAGGGCTGCTCTGGAGTTACCACCTTGGATCTTCTGTAGTAAAAGCTCAATGATTCCTTTAAGGAGCATAGTGAGGATGAAAGCCTTACTCAGACACAAAGTAAGCTGCCTTTGGGCACCCCCACCCCCGCACAGTCCATGAGATGGTGCCAAGCTCACAGGAGGCCCTCAAATGAATGAATCCCTTGATCAACCAGCTCCATTGCACCCTCTCCTCTTCTCCAGAGTCCCTGGCCCCTTCTCCTATGGCTGACCTTGCCCCGACCAATCTCAGCCTTGGGCCACTCCCACCATTTGCCACCTCCCTGTCTACAGACATGCTGCTGGATGAAGGTGGAGAAAACCACGCCACTGTTCTGACTGAGCCCTCATCACTGCCAGGCAATCCCACCAAAGCGCCCTCCTCAGCTCACCATCCCCCTCACCACAGTGGCTCTTCTGGACCTTCTCATCCCTCCTCAAGCCTCTCATGGCTCCCCTCCCCGACCCTCTCAACAGAGAACCCTGACCTATGTTTTACAGAAAAATGATGGCCATTGGCCGTGAGCTCCCTCTTCCTCATCTCCCATCATCCAGGTGCCTTCTGCCTCTCACTTGTCCTTCCCCTGTCTCACAGGATGAAGTGGCCTTACTGCTGACTAAGGCTGACCCCTCTGCCTGCTCAAGTGATCCCATTCCATCCTATCTCCTCCAACGGGTCACCCCTCCCCCCACTTATTTTCAATCTCTCCTTCTCTACTGGCTCTTTCTCTCCTCCCTAGAGACATGCCCATGTCTCCCTCATTCTGAAAAAAAAGTTCGCTTGACCCTTCCATCTCTGCTAACTATCGTCCCCATCTCTTCTGCCCTTTATTTCCAAGCTCCCCCAAAAAGGTCATCTACACTAGGAGCCTCCACTTCCCTCTCCGTCTCTTCTTACAGTTCGACTTCTGAGCTATCATTCCACCAAAAATGCTCTCTCCAAAGTTGCCACCAATCTCGTGGTGGCCAATCCAATGGCCCTGTCTCAATCCTCACTCTCCTTGACCTTTCTGCAGCCTTAAGCACTCCTCTCTAGGTATTTGTGACACTGCTCTCTCTCGGTTCACCTCCTGCCTATCTGACCACTCCTCCTTTATCACATTTGCAAGTCATGGCTCTGATTATAGAGGTTACCCAAGGCTATGTTCGGGGTCCTCTTCTCTTCTCCCTTATCACTTGGTGATCTGTCAATTCCCAAGGGTTCAGTGACCATCTCAGTGATGAGGATTCTCAAATCTCCCTATGCTGCCCCAGACTCTCTGCTGACCTCCATTCTTGCATCTCCAACTGCCTTTCACACACCTTGAACTGGCTGTCCAGTAGATACTCAACCTGTCCAAAACAAAACTCATTATCTTTCCCCCTACACCCACACCCCCTACCTTTCCTGTTCCTGTAGAGGATGCCACCATCCTCCCAATCCCTCAGGCTCACAACCTAGAAGTTGTCCTGGAATTCTCACTATCTCTCACCTCCCCATCTCCAATATGGCGCCCATGCCTGTCCATCTCACTTTGGCAGCACCTCTTGGATATGCCCCCTTCTCTCTCATGACACAGGCCCCAGCCTGGTACAGACCCTCATCACCTCAAGCCTGAACTACTGAAGTAGCTGCTGGGAGGTCTGCCTGAGCCAAAGTCTCTCCCCACTCTGGCCTATCTTCCATTCAGCCCCCAAAGGGATTTTCCTAAAACAAAAGTCCAACCATGCCACCCCAACTCCATCAACTCTGAGGGGCTCCCTGTGGCCTGCAGGATCAAACGCAAAATGCTCAGTTAGGCATTCAAAGCCCTCCCACCTACCTCTCCGGTCTTCTTACTCTTTACTACCCTCCATTTTGTCTAAAAGCAAGATTGGAAAATACAAAGGAGAGATGCTGGTTGGTAACTTGATATCCTCTTAAGACAACCAGTCCCTCCTCTTTCTCCACAGAGACTGAGATTTGGGAAGGAGCTCAGTGGCTGTCTGGAGTCCAGCCTCTGTCTGAAGCCCTCCAGGAAGGGGGAGCCCCCAACTTCCATACCGGGAGGATGTTTTTCCTGATTTTCATAGCTCTGTTGTCAGTGCTGCCTTCCGGGGCCAGCAGAAGAAGGCTGAGCCTCCCTCCCCACCCATGACTCCATAGTAAAGCCCTGGCTACTGCGCTACCTCGGTGCTCCCCACCCCACCTCCTCCATCCTAAACAACCTACGTTCCCTCTCTGGTTCTTCTGATGGCCCCTCCCTGCCCCCAGCTGCCCTCCTCCAAATGCTCTGCTTCAGCCATGTCTTTACTGACCTGGGGTGCCCAAGTCTGAGATGAGATCTGACCAATCAGTAAAGTAGCAACAAGACGGCAAGCACGCCTCCCAAACAAATTTGGGGTACTCTTGTCCCTCAGAATCCTTCATCCTGATGCTGGCAAGCTTTGGCTAGGCCCTGCAGCCCTGCGAGGGCAGCACCAGCATTCAAGGAAGGCCAGGCAGAGGAGAGGCCTGGAGCACGTGCCTACATTCCCAGCTACCCTTATGCCCCCCACACAGATCTCTTCTGTTCTTGGGACAGAGGCACACAAGGACAGGCATTACTAGAGAGACTGGAGAGATGCCAGGAGAATAGAGGGCTTGTTGGGACCCCCAGGGGTCAAGCCCTTAGCAGAGCAGAGGCTGACTAAGCTGCACCCTCCTACAAAAAGGACCCTTGGCCAGGTACAAACCTTACAACCGGGGTGATGCGGGACCTGCCCTCCCACTTGTGACAGGATGGTCCACTCTGTCTGCATCTGCCCCCCAACCCCACCAGCCGTTTGATGAATGGGGTGGGGCCTTACCAGCTTTTTTCCTTCTTGGTGGAGGCATCGACGCCTGATTGAGAATCAACTCCTGGAAAAATTTGAGTCTGTCTTCTTCAATGGGCCTTTGAATATATAAGACCTCTTCATACTGGATTCTAAATATACATTTAACCTACACCAGGAGACACAGAGGCGAAAAGAAGAAACATTAGGAGTCAAGCCCAGGGCCATGGACCTCTTCGCACTGTCCTCCGCACTCTGTCAAGAGGCTGACAGGGGCCACTCCTCTCACTATGACCACCAAGTAATCATGACGGGCTGACAAAAGACAGCACAGTCAGTGTCCCTGAATATGTTGGGCCAAAATGTGAGGCTTCTTTTTTTCTGTGCCTATTCTAGGGACACAAAAAAGGCAAATGGATAAACTGTGCCTGACCAACCCTAATACTGGGCCTCTTATCAGAAACCAAGAATGGTCAATCAAAACTCAAAGGAACCCAGGAGAAACAACTCCCTGAAAATGAGAGCTGCGCCAGGGTTGAATGGGCCTGCAGAGGATGGTAGCTGGCATCTCCTCCTTGCGTGTTTTCCACTGTTAGAGATGTGGTTGTGGAAAGGAGGCAGAGCCCTTCTCCTGTTTCAAGATACATCGTACACAAGATGTGGGGAGGAGGAGGCAAAGACAATACCAGATAACTTCCTGGTTCTAAATGAAGAGAACAAAAACCTAAAGGAGGTGGGGGTGGGTGAGGTTCCTCTTCAAGTGGAGAATGGCTGAACAAACTGTAGTCACAGGAAAATCATGAATTACTGAGCCCTAAGATGTGACAAAAGAAAGTTTGTGAGAAAGCGGGGAAGACTTGTATGAACTGATACAAAGAGAAGTGAGCAGAACCAAAAGAACAATAGGGTCACAAGCACAAACAAGTTTTAAGGACTGAAGAGTTGTGGCCATCCAATGATCCACCATGCTTCCAAGTGACCAACGATGAAACGTGGCACTCCACTCCCAACTGAGGGAAGGAACAAATCTGTTGGCACTCTGCCTGCTACCAGATGAATATATTCTGCTTGATGACATCTGCTTGTTACAAGGGGGTTTTCCTTTCATTGGAGAGAAGAGGTTATCTAGGAGGCATCACTAGAACATTATAAAACGCACAGAAAAGAGAGTGCAGGGTGGTTCTGATTATAAACTCTTCTGTGTCACACAAAAGGGAGACTCACCGTTTCTAATACAAGCCTATGGAACTGTGCACATGGCAGGTGGGGAGGGTGTCTTTATTCAGAATAAAAAATAAAATTTTAAAAAGAGAGAGAAAATTTAAATGGGGTGGTCCAGAAAGGAAATCTGGAACCAGCAGAGAACAATCCCAAGCACAACGATGGCTCAGAGCCAAGGCCAGACAAGGGCAGGGACTGTATCAACTGTGTCGTCATTATCTGCGTCTCCCCATAGTAGGCCCAGAGGTGAGGACACAGAACGCCCTTCAACGACGGCTGGTGGATGAAGGACATTGTGTGTCCCAAGGAAATATATGAGACAGGGAACCAAGGGGGGTCTCTGGCTCTCAGGAACATCTCCAGAAGCAATGGGCCCATTGCAGGAGAGAAAGGCCTCAGGCCCTCCAGACCTCCTGGTCTCCACAAGTGTGCCAACATCTCCATTCCTGGGTTAGGCAATGAAGAGCAACTGTGAAGTGCCAGAAAAAACTAGCCACCTGCCACTGCCAGCCCAGACCTCTTAGTCTGTAGTAAATTAAGTGGAATTCTAAAATAAAATCCAGCTTTTGCTAAATAAAGACAGGCTACTAGACTCAAGATGTACAACACAAAGACACATGTGACAACCCTCCCTTTCACCAACATGTTCCCAATGGCAGACAGGAAAACAAATGCCACCTACACATAGGCAGACACCAGTCCAGCCTGGAAAACCAGAATTTGCCCTTCCCTCCTCCTGTCGAGGGTACCCCCACCCTGCCAGTCGCTCAGGCTCACAACCAAGTCTGCTGCCGTGTCCCCCATCACCTCTGGCCCGGGGGGTCTCCCCGAAGCCAAGATCTGCCCCTGCTATCCACGCCTCCTTCACTCCAGGGAGGCAGAAAGGCCACGTACTCACCCTCTTCCTCCTCACCACTTCCCAGCCCCCATCCTCCCGAGGGCTCCCAGTGCACAACGAGCCATCCCCTGCTTTTAGGATTGTGTGCTAACTGTACCATGTGTCTACAATGCTTTCCATTCTCACCCAATCTTTTGGAATCCTGAGCTATTTGTGAGGCTAAGCCTCAATGTCACCTGCTATCCTCCTAAGGCCTTCCCTGATCCCCCGATCATTTCTGGACACTAACTTGGGATTGACTCAGAGGCGGTAGCTACACTGTATTCCCGCAGAAGAACAGCAGCTCCTTGAGGGCAGGAGTCAGCAAGAACAGCCCAAGGCCCATGGGGACAGGTCCGCGTTCTTCCGCTGAATGCAGAGCATGACCACTACACAGCGGATTCCAAGGTCTCCTCCCAAAAAGCCCACGGGTGGCCCAGAGCCTGCACGTTCCTGGTGGAATGGTGTGACAAATACGGGAGCCTGCCACAGCCCATGGAAAGGGAGGATGTAGAAGCTCGAATCTCACTCTCCAGATCTGGGCTCAGTCAGGTCCACGCCCAGAGCAGGCTGGGCCAGGAGGTAGCCCCTGTTCTCGCACTCACACTGTCATCCTTACCTCCTCAGGCAGTTCGCTGTACATGGTCTCAGAGGTAGACAGGAGAAATATAGGGGAGAAGGACGGTATGTCCTGCAGTAGGGTCAGAAACGTCGCTCTCACAGTCTCGCTGACAGCTTCCCACCAGTCACCGATATGAGGCATGTAAACAATGCTTGGTACTGATCTCCGAGCTTCACGGAATATCTGACCATGTGGGAGAAAGGCAGACAGAAAGGTAAGTGAGGCTTACTCTTCTCTCTCCTGGAGAATGCCTCTGCAAACAGCAGCCAGTCAGATAGTCAACAGTAAGGAAGTGCCTACTATGTGCCAGGCCCTGCCCTCAAGGAGCTCCAGGTCACATGCTGGAGACAACAGGCAAATGACTGCACCCAAGGATTAAGGGGAATTCAGGAAGGTTTCCTGCAGAAGGTGGGATTTTAGTTGGCATTTAAAAGAAGACAGAAGGCCAAGATCATTGGATCCAAGAGTGTCAGGGAGTAAGGTATAAGAAGACTGGAGAGGGAGGAAGGAGCAGGTTATGAAGGGCTTTGGATGACAAACAGAAATTTGTAATGGATCCTGGAGGTGATAAATAGGAAGTCAGTGCAGTTTATTGAGCTGGGGGGCAGCGAGGGGGAGGGGGAGAGGGAATGACACGGTCGGATCTGCACTTTAGCCTTTAGTAGTTGAATAGAGGATGGACTGCTGTGAAGACAGACTCTCAGCAGGAAATCCCCCCAGTAGCTACTGCCATAGTCCAAGCCTGAGGCAATAAGAGTCCACAGCAGAGTAGGTGCAGCACTGCAGAGGTAAAATCAACCAGAGATGCTGCAGAGGTGAAATCAACCAGACGTGCAACAGAGGTGAAATCAACCAGACATGCAGCAGAGGTGTAATCAACAAGAGATGGTGCAGAGGTAAAATCGACCAGAGATGGTACAGAGGTGAAATCAACCAGAGATGCTGCAGAGGCGAAAGTGACAGGCCTTGGCACCACACTAAATATTGGGGGGGGGCGCGGGGGGCACAGCCTGGAGGGGTGAGAGAGTGAGGAGTCCAGGACAACTCCTAGGTTGGGAGCCTCAGGGACTGGGAAGAAGTTGGTGCCCTTTAGAGTAACAGGGAAAGTAGGAACGGGGAGGATTTGGGGAAAAGATAATGAGTTGTTTTGGAAATAAGGAGTTTCAGATGTCTACTGGACATCCAGTTGGATATGCAAGACTGGAGGTCACCAAAGATTGGGGCAGGAAATGTAGATCTGAGAATCATCAACAAAGAGATGGTTATTAAATCCATGGAAGCCAATGGGGAGGAAAGAAGAGGGCCTAGGACAGAAACCTGAGGGACACCCAGGGTTATAGTTAGAGGACACAATCTAGAACAGTGCTTCTTAAACTAAGTTCACGAGTAGAAAAAGTTTAAGAAGCCCTGATCCAGAGGAGGATCCAGACAAGCAGACACAGAAGGAGCAGTCAGAGAAGGAAGAGTACTGGGGGGTTGTTCCTGAAAACACAGAGAGAAGAAGAGTATGCAGGAGGAAGGAGTGACCGATGATATGAAAGTCCACATGAGGACTGGCTACTAAGATAGCAGTTTTGGTAAAAAATGATGAGGTAAGAAGCCAGAGTGCAGAAGGGTAAGAAGAGAGAGAGGACAGGAAATGGATGCACCAACTGTGGATGGCCTTCTTTAGCCACAAAAGGCAGGAGATAAGGGACCACAGATAGTGGGAATGATTGGATGGAATAAGGGCGTTCTGAGGAAGGTGCTGGATGATACAGACATGTTTATAGTCAAGGAGATAAAGTACAGGGCAGATGATAGGGCAGGCATGGTCTGCTGGGAGACTGCATGGAATGGTCACCTTGGTCTGGAGTCAGGCCACCTCATCATGGGCCAGGGACAGAAGGCACCTGAGTAACACCCCACAGGTAAGAGGGGAGCAGAAGGAGCTCCCAGCCTCTATCTTTTCAGTACAATATGAGGCCACGGAGAAGGAGCTATGGGAGGTCTGGAAAAGTCACTGGCCAGAGTGGGACAGTGAGCTGATGAGGAAGTATGGTAAGAGAGCCTGGCGACAGTGAGGGCCCAAAGAAGGCCGCAGTGGACACAGTCACAAGGTGGTGTGACTTCCTCACCTTAGCTTAGCAGTGTGTCGCGTCTCTGTCCTTAGATCCCTCTCCCCCTGTGCACTCAACAACTTAGCCCAACTGGGGCTCTGCTTCCTCTCCTCCCCAATCTCCCCTTCACCCCCAGCCTGGGGCCTCTCTACCCAGTGGCATGCCACATCGAAGGTGCACCCATCCTTCACCTGTCCACCTCTTGGAGCTATGAAGATGCTCTTGATTCCAAAGGCTGGGTACTCTCTTCCCTCAAACTCTTCCCATAATCCTTTGGGCTTCCAAGTGGTTCTGTGCATCAAGAACCACATTTGGAATCCAGAGCAAAGTGACTGTGGAATTGTACAGGCCAAATGGAGGCCCCAGAGAGGAGGCTCAAGAAGTTGAATCAGACGCCACTGAAGCCAAAGGGGGAAAAGGCTCCTTGTCAACAACGTGGAAGATTCTCCAAGTGACAGGGGAGAGGACATCAGCTGCTAATGAGAATCCACCAGGAAAAGCCCAACTGAAAACTCTCACAAGTTTCAGCATAAACAGTGATGATCTTACACCCATTTTCTTCTTCCTAGCTTACTTTCCCTGGATCCCTGGATATGGGGGGGGGAAGCGAGGAGCCCAGGACAACTCCTTGGTTGGGAGCCTGAGGGACTGGAAGGAAGGTGGTGCCCTTTAGAGTAATAGGGAAAGTAGGAGAGGGGAGGATTTGGGGAAAAGATGATGAGTTGTTTTGGACATATGGAGTTTCAGATGTCTACCGGACATCCGGCTGGAGATGCAAGACCCTGGGGATCCCAAAACAAGTTTAAAGTGTCTGACACAGACAGCGGAGGGACTTCCCTTGACCACTGAGCCAGTGAATGGCTTTGTGGGTCAGCCGGTGGCCGCAGGGGCCATCCTGGCTCCAAAGCTGCTCTTTCGGCTCCCACCACCTCCTGACTCTCTTGACCCCGGGGGTACCCCAGCCTCATGTCTTCTTCACACCGTCCTGGACCCTAAGGACAGTTGGATGCCACCATGCCATGGACACCACACCCGCCCCAGGACCTACCTGGGCACATGACTCCTCAGGTGTTTTGGCACTGACAGAATAAAGCGCAGGGAGGTCAAGTCTGTGCACAGAGAACTTTTCCAGAGTGTGCAGCAGGGCAGGAGCCAGGTGAGAAGTTTGCCCCGACCCCCTCTCTCCAGACAGCAGCAGGCGAGGCCGGTACGACGTGGGCTGCTGAGAAGCTGACCTGCAGCAGTGAAGGAGAAGGGGGCTCCGTGAGACCCTGGCCACAAAGCCGACAGAAATCCCCCCCGTTCTGGTTTACCAGAAATGACTGGGGGACGTAGGCAATGAAGGGCTGAGGATTAAGAGAAAAAAGAAAAGAGGGTCCAGAACTGAGCCCTGGGGGATACAACCATAGTTCAGGGGGCATGACACAGAAAGGGAGTAGTGACCCAGGAAGGAGGAAAATGAGAGGAAGAGAGGGGGAAGAGCAGAGGGGACAAGGGGAGGGGGGACGAGGGGAGGGGGGACAAGGGGAGGGAGAGAAGAGAGAAAGAGTAGATAGAGTACCTGCCCTGGATTCAGGAGGACCTGAGTTCAAAAATGACGTCAGACAAATAACACTTACTAGCTGTGCGACCCTGAGCAAGTCACTTAACCCCACTGCCTAGACCAAAAAAAGAAAGGAGAAAGAGACAGAGAAAAAGAGGGAGAAGTGATAGGGAGGGGGAAAGGGAGAAGAGAAGAAGGAAGAAACATGAAGAAGAAGGGAAGGAGGGAGGGAGAGGAGAAAGAGACATAGAGAGAGGAAGAGGAAAGGAAGGGAGGAGAAAGAAAGGGAGAGGGAGAGTCCGGCCATGCAGACGATGGCATCCAGTGCAGCGGAAGGGAAGGAAGAGGATGAAAACCACCCCAGGGAATCTCTCTCTCCAGCCTTCGCAGCCTCAATGCCAGACAGAGAGGCCCAGAAAATCACCAAAGGAGCCAGAGAGCCCCTCTGCACCTCCCAGGTCTCCACCAACCCATAGACAGCATGAGTGACCAGAGGCCGGCGTCAGTGACGGGCCACAGGAAGTAGTGCCCAAGGAGGATGTAACAATCTCACAGGCACAACTGAAAAGTGGACGGGTGACAGCCACACCCGGCAGAAGACTCTGAAGGAAGACGGCTGACCCACCCGCCCAGAAGAGACCTGTGAAAGGTGAAGGGTGGGCTGATGTGGAAGAGACGTGAGCAACGAGATGCCAACAGGAAACCCAGGCTTTAGATGTGGGCCAACACATTTTGGGGCAGCTGGTCAAAGGAAGGCCAGACTAGGCTCCAGGCCAGCTGGGCAAGAAGCACAAAGACATGAATGGAAGGAACCGGCTACCAACCTGCCCCAGCATCAAGTCAGAACAGTTTGGGGCAGACTTCCACTATCTGAACAATAAAATTCAATCGGGGAGGTTAACATTGCTAGAGAATTTTCAGGCTTACGAAGATAGTCTGTGAGGGCCCCATTTTACAAATAAGGAAACTGAGGCAGAGAGCAGCAGTTCAGTGACTGTGCCCGCCTGCCTCAAGGGATGGTAGTCTGGGCACTGTGGCGCCCCCTAGTGACCCACAGAGGCAGCTCATCACTCACTGGGAGGCTGGGCTTTCTAGGTCACTCCTGAGACTTCACTGTTCTCCAGCCACTGGACCACCCTGCCCTCAGTCAATAAGAGACACCTGGCCATCCCTGGGAGCTTCTTCTCAAGGTCAACTCGATGAACAAGAGATATCTGCTCCACTCAGAGGCGTAGCTGGTTTGGACGGAGAGCTTCAGAAGGAGAGGAGGCCAGCTCCAGTGACTTGGTGGCACAGAGGGAACCACAGGCTCTCAAAGGCTCTGCCCATCTGCCAAGGCTTGGAAAAGAGCCTGCCCAAGCAGTTGCCCCTGCCAGCTGAGGCTCAGCCACAGCAGGGTGGCGCTTCCCTCCCTGGGGGCTCCACAAACAAGCCGTACCATGGCAACCCAAGGAATGATGACAAATGGCGCCCTGTCCTCGAGCAGCTGCAGCAACACTGTCAGAAACACCACGTTAGCTCTTCTCTGTGAAGCTCGCAGTACAAAACCCCAAAACACGAAATCTATCATTTAAGTGACTATGATTATGACTAGGACTCCTTTCTGAAACAGCTGTCTCTGGACACTTACCACACCAACTTGTCACAAAGCTCAAAATCGATACCAAACGAGAAGGAAAAAAAAGAAAATCAGCCACTGCCCTCAAAGAACCTACTCTGTCAGGGGAGAGGAATAGAGCATACCCAGAACCTCAAACCAGAAAAAGAAGCTTTGCAAAAACTTTAGTAACAACTTGTCAACAAGCATGGCATTCAGGTCAATCTGTTGGATTACTTTAGGGGCTGTTTCAGACTTCAGGGAAGCAGCAGGGCTCACTTGCTCTTCCTTACAAATGCTGGCACATCTCCCACTTCCATACCTTTGCCCAGGCTGGCACAATGCATGGGACACTCTCCAACATCACCTCAGCCTTTCCCCCAAGCTCGAGAGAAGGGACACCTGAAACACCAGAGGCTTCCCGACTCCCAGGAAGGGCAGCATTCAGCCCCGGACCCCAAGTACTGGGGACCTAGCCTGCCTTGACGAGCTGTCCAAGTGGCATTTCCTCCAGGAGAATGCAAACCACCTGAAGTCATTATGCTGACATTTAAAAACCTTTACTCGCCTATGTAAAGTCAAGCAGAAAAAAGCGGTCTGGCCATGAAAGTGTGACAGGAGGAGGAGAATGCGCTGGACCGCTAGCTCCCAACAGCCCGCTCCTCAACTCCCAGGCCAGTGTTACTGCTTTCTCCTCCCTCACCTTCCCCCGTCTTCCCGGATCTCCTCCAGGAATAGCCCAAGGAAAGGATGGTCTGCCCACAAGACACAATACGCCTCCTTAGCTCAGCATTCAAGGCCTTTCAGAAGCTAGCCCCCATTCACACAACCAGTATACAAGCTCAATGAGGCCACTGTCTGCTTCCCTCATCTGACACACCACACCCACGGCCTTCACAATGGTTGAGCAAGAAGCCAGAACTCAAAATCATTTTAAAATGAATGCCACAAGAAATAAATAATACATTTGAAAGAAGTACATAAAATGACTGCAATTTAAAAAAAAAACTCTTCAAACAAAATTTTTAATGGAAAAACAGTAACTGCAACCCCACAAAGGATCCCCTGACTGCAAACACACTCTCTCCATCTCCGTGTTGCAGACTGCTCATCTTTCTTCAAGGTTAAGCAGAGCAGTCACCTCTTCGGTGACCTTCCTTGATACCCTCCCCCATCTCAGGAAGTGGCAAGGGGTCTCCCCTCCACTGTCCATGTACGACACACAATTCATTTTCTGCCCTCCCCATCCTCCCAGGCACTATCTCAATGCCTCCCACACCCAAGCCAGCACCAAGGCCTGTCAATATTACCTTTGTACTCTCTCTTACGCACACTCCCAGCCTCACGCCTGGACTACACTTCATGCCATAGATGCTGGGGGGCTGCCTGCCCCCATCCATCCTCCACTCAGCCACCAAAGCACAAGTCTTACCACGTCACCCCCACCACCCCAATAGCTCCCTATCACCATCAGAAGGAAACCCTAAATGCTCTGCTTGGCCTTCAAAGCCCTTCCCAACATCCCCCACTCCTCTCTTTCCAGGCTTCTTACACCTGCCTCCCCAACACATCCTTTTTAGTCCCATCAGCCTGGCCTCCAACACTGGTCCTCCTCTGCTCTGACCACTGACCTCCCCGGCTTCCCCCTTCCACAGGAAGCCTTCCCTCTGTATCTTCGCTGTTTCCCCTGCTAGACTGTTTGCCTCCTCTGGGATCCCCAGCATTTCGCACAGTGCCTGGCACATTGTAGGACCTAATAAACGCTAACTGCTTGACCATTCTATCCTTCCAGGAAAAGGTAAGCTCATTGGACGCATGCTAGATGAGGCGCAGCCCCCATGAGACGAGGGAATAATTGTCAGTACTTGGCAACAGACCGCACACGGGTAATAAAGAGAGAGGCCCTGAAGCTACGAGTGGGGGTCAGGGGGAACTGAGAGGACAGAGGCACCTCCTCAAGATGAACAGGGAAGCTATGAGGCTGTCCCAGAGCCTCTGCTCGGGCTGTCTGTCTGTGCTACCTCCAACAGCCCCTCCTCAAGTTGGCTTCTGCCACATGAACCAGGTCAAGCTTCTGGAGCAACTGCGCACCTCATGGAGGGCCCCTGGCAGGTGCAGGGTAGGATGTGGCCAGCAGGAGGCGCTGTGCACCGTAGGGACTGCCCAGCTTCCTGTTTTTTTCTCAAAAGCACGCTGGTAGCTTCCAAGTGATCTTGTGGAATTCAGGCACAGGCCTTGCTCTAACAAAGCCAATGGCAGTGACAGACACAGTGAGCCATCATCTTCACAGAAACCACGCTGGCTGGGAAAAGCTGGGGTCTCCTTTGTGCAATGACCAACTGGCCAGTGACCTGTGCTCAGACAGGGTGCTTTTCCCAAAGCTGCCCAGCCACCCCCGCTGCTGCGACCCCAGAAACAAGAGGAAGCCCTAAAACAGCTGCGCGGGGAATCTACGTCCAGGAAGCTCGGCTAAGGGATGTCCCCATGAAGGCCACTGGAGCCACTGTGGGGCCCAGACTGGGCCAGCAAGGAAAGCCAGTGCACACACGGCACGGCGGGAGGCACGGCCCGTGGTGACCCAGAAGGGGCAGAGGGACTTTGCTAGGGCCAAGGGCTTAGAGGTCTCATGGCCTCCCCGCAGCTGTGCCACCCACGCCCTCACGGCTACTCACGTGCTGAAATGCAGGTAGGGCTTGTGGGCAGCAGTTGGGGACAGTTTCTTTGGTGATCCGGAGGGACAGCCGGTCTCGAATATCGACAAGGTGTTCTCATCGTCACTGTCTTCTAAAAGGAGGCTCTGCACATCTGCCCAAGAAACAGGAAAGAAAAGGAGGGGGAGCTGAGACTTTGCAAGGAAGTACCCAGGCCCACAGAGTCATTGCTGAGCCCCGCCTACTCTCCCATCATTCCTCATTGCAGCCTGGGGCTCCAGTCCTGCTGAGGCCAGACTGGCCCTGGCCTGGGGGTGTGGCTCCAATGCAGGCCTCCCCAGGGAGGAGGTGGTGCAGGGACCTCTGGCCATGTCCGCGAGGCTCCAGCCCCACCAGGACCCCAATCCATCTTGGATGGTGGCACAGTGCCTCCTGGACAACTGACCTTTTGGAAGCTCAGACTCTGTCCCGAGGCCACACGAGGTCTCTGCCACCCCAGCCCTGCCCCCTTTCTCTAAAGGGGCTCCTAGATCCCTGCAGGGGTTGGAGGAAGGGTGCCACAAGGCTCCTGGCCAGTCAGGGAAGTCCTGGGAAGCTGCCTGGCTACGGGGGGGGGGGCATGCGAAAGGGCTGTTCCAGGATGGTAAGGACCAAACACAGAAAGGGCCCCGGTTCACACGGCTAGCCAATGGTGGAGGCAGGATCAGATCCCTCAACATGCCACCAGCACTACGTTGTGGCCCAGCTACTCCTACCCATCAACTGCCCATTTAACACCTATCTGAGGGACAGCCTGCCAGGGCCCCCGCAGTGCTACCTTCTCGCCTGTCCCCCTGGCTGGTCTCGGCATGAGGAAACACTCTCTGCAGAACAGAGAGGATGTGGTTGAAGCTCCTCTCCAGAAGAGGCCTGATGATGGGCGACAGGGCATGGCCAGAGGAGGCGACAGCACGCTGGGAGGCAGGCACGATGTTCTGCATGGCGTGGTGGAAGTCCTGTGCACTGAGCACGATGGAGGACACGTCCAGCTGCAGCTTGTGGCTGCTGGCGTAGATCTGCGGGTAGCGCCTGCGCAGGGCAAGCAGGGCAGCCTCCGTGCACAGGGCCTTGATGTCCGCGCCGCAGTAGCCTAATGCACACAGGGAGACAGAAGGGTGCAGAGGTGAGACTGACTCTGGGCCCCGCCCTGCCACGCCCAAGCCCTGCAGCAGGTGGACAGAGACCAGAATTTCAGGCTGCCTCCACACGCTAGGACACAGGTGCTCTAGAAATCGGGATCCAGCGCCATCCCATCCCCAGCCCGAACCACTCCCTGACTTTTGTGGGGGTCCTGAGCTTATGCCCAAGGTGGAATCCCAGGAGCCAAGCACTGGACCTCACTGCAAGCAGTCCTCATTATGACAAACAAAGTGTTCATCATGATCACCATCACTGATCTACTGGTAACTACATGCCAGGCACGGAGCTGGGCACCTGATCTCTGTTTTACAATTGAGGAAACTAAGGCAGGGAGCGGTGAAGGGGCTTGCCCTGGGTTGTGTCTGAGGCTGGATCTGAGTTCGAGTCTTCCTGATAGTAGAACCGGGTGCTCTGTGTGAGCCCCCCAGCTGCCTTTCAATCTACACTTCTGAAAAATGTTGAAATAATTTGCTTTCTCCTCTAGAAATTATCTTTACAAAGGAAGCACTCTTTGAATTTCATCAGCTGCCCAAAAAGCTACAGTGCGACAGACCCCGTGAGCACATCCGGAGCCCTGGAGAGTGTCCAGAGGAGGGCATCCAGGGAGGCCGTGAGCTCAGGTGCCCATCTCTGGGCTGAAGAAGAGATGATTCCTGGGCCTGCAACAGGTGGAGAGAGACCCCGGCAGGTCCTGACTGCTCCCCAGCATCCTTGCTCACAGCAGGCCCTGAATAAAGGCTGGAGGAGATTCCCTTCCACCCCGGGGCTGGGCACCCCTCCTGCTGCCTCTCTGAACAGACACCACTGACAAGACCAGGATCTCTGCACCTAATGAGCCCCCGGGTCTGGCAACAGTCACTCCTCCATCCTCACAGAAGCTGCCCGGGCAGCTGTTGGGGCTTCAAGTGCAAGCACACACCAGATCGGAGCCATCTGAAAGGCACGCTGGCTCTCTAGGCCACCCTGACTGGAGGCCAGCACCTGGACAAAACTTGCTCCAGTCACCCAGAGTGAAGCCACCCCTGCCTTGTTCCCCAAGAAAGCAGGCACATGGAAACAGACAGTTTTTCCCAACCAGGGGTCTGTCCGATGAAGAATGTCACTCCATTCCTCTTTACACACACACACACACACACACACACACACACACACACACACTCACCAAGGACCTCAGGTCTCAACCAGGACACTTCTGAGGTAGGGAAATGAGGGGGGTTTCTCTGTCCCTTCACAAGACATGATCAAATCCCACTAAAAACTGAACCAGGACTTCTTTGTAGCCTGTGGAGAGACCTGCACTGACCAGCGGCCAGCTCCAAGGATGATGACCATCATTTTCGTAGAGGCATCACCATGGTCACCTTGAGGACTTGGAAGGAGAGGGGGCCGAGGCAAGTTTTCTGAAAAGCTGGGAATCTGCTCCATGGAGATCAGATCACAGCACAGGAGGCAACAACCACCACCCTGAGACCGAGGCAATGGGGAGCCAGAAGGACACAGGCACACGCGCACACACAGTCCAACCTGGGAATGCTGGAAGGACCAGACCACAGTGCACAGGCATGCGGCCCTGCAGAACCTGGAGCCCAGGTGAGCTAGGGAACCACCAATGCTTGTGCTGTGGCCCTTTCAGCATAAAATCCACGGCAGCCACAGACAAGACTCCAGTGGCCCAATCACGCACCCCAATAATCGCCTCACCGAGCTGGGGCCCGGAAGGGGCCAGGCCTGGGCCAGCCAGGCCACAGAGCAGGAAGCGCATTCCTACTGGATTTGTAGGTGATAATGGTGGTTCTCTGACCAGAATGTGTTATATCAGTCAGGAGCCACTTAAAGACATAAAACCCGAGGTAGGAAAAGAAAGGCTGTGATCTGCCTTTGGGATCAAAGTGGGCAGACTTTTCTAGCTTCAAAAACTATCATGAGAATTTGAAAAACCATGTCACAACTCAAACTGCTGGCCAAATTCTGGGAAACACAGGGAAATGAGCTGCACACATCTAATTTGGAAAGAAGATGGTGGAAATGCCACGGGAGAATGCAAATCTAAGATGGAGACGGAAGATGGAAACCAGAGGGTGCAGAGAGATCAGACGGGAAAGAACACTCTGGGCTCAGGCTGCAGGCCTGCTTGCTAGGGGCAGGGCAGGGTGGGGCGGGACCTCCCAGGAGGGCAGCAGCAAGGCCGGTGGACTCTCTAGGGCCACGGCGCTCTCCCTCCAAACGCCACCCTCTCCCACCAAGCAGCACAAGGCCAAATCGACAGGGAATAGGTTGGGTGCATGCTGTCTGGTACCCGGCCAAGTTAGACTGGTGGTGTGCTGGAGAGAGTTACGTTTTCTCCTCACCCGAAGACGTCGAGGTCTTGGTGGTTCAAAAGCTGAGGGAGGCTGCTTCGGAGATGGAGGTCCCTGTGGATGAAGAGGACAATTCGGATGTAGCTGACTGAATATGGACTGGCGGGCAGTGTAGGGCAGTGTAAGGTTTACTTTGTGGATGGGAGACAGAGCCTCTGATGGCTCATCTCAGGGCGGGGGCCTCTCTGCAAGCCTCAGAACTGGTTTGTTTTCTTAAAGAGCGAGAGGGGAAAAAAGAAGGAAAAAAGGAGCAGCAGTGAAGGAGAGCAGGAGCCCTCTGGCTGGGCAGAGCAGATCCCTACACACAGTCGGGGAGTGGTGCAGCCTGGGAGTGGCACAGCAGCATGCCGGGCCCTCACGTGGACATCCTCCCATCTATCCTGCGCATGGGCCGCTGCATCTGGGGGGAGACAGGAGGCCCCTACCGCAGCTTCTTAGACCACTGAGCAGGCACCACAGGGGTCAGGAGCTGGGACGCCCGCCCAGACAGGCTCTTATTTCTCCTATGCGCTTTTAGGATGGTTTGCTTAGCGGAGTACATCGTGAAGGAAAAGGGCACCACGTGCCTGGGAAGGAAGGACAGCATCCTCTGTGTGTCTTGTAGTCACAAGGCTTTATCAATAATGGCCCTTTCACTTGTAAGCGGTAAGAGATCACACTCTAAATTAAGCCAAAACTATCTAAATACAAAAATCAAGTCCCATTTCCCACACTTGAAGATACGCCAAGGCATTCTCTGACCTTCCAACTGGAACCAAAGGTGACACAGGCTGGACAAGAACAAACATGGATTCATAAATGACCAGGTTCAAAGAGTGCCACTCACCAACACATTTCTCAGCCAGTTCGCCAAGGAAGAGGTCCGACAGTCTGGGGCTCCAGTCCCGGGTGTGGATCTGCAAAATGTGCTTCCGGGCCTGGGGAGCAAAGCACAGGTAGATTACAGGGTGTCCCACACAGTGACAAGTACAGAGAGAGTAGCCCCTCCCACGCACAAGCACTCTGCCCGAAGAGGACGACGAGGAGGAAGGACAGACCTTGGCCAGCACGAGAGCGGGCACTTGCCAGGGGACAGGAAGAGAGAGAGACAGAGAGAGAGAATAGGCACTTCTCATCAGTGCCCCAAGATGGTGCGGTTCTGAAGCTGGGCCATCCTCCCTGGCTCCAGGGAGCACCCCAAGCACTCTTCTGTTCTGAGGTGAGGTTAACCCATGGTCACATAACTCTTTCCTACAAGACAACTTCTGGAAGGCAAGTGTCCACACAGACTTCACATGGAACATCTCTTCCTCTCTCTCGGTGCTGGCCTCTGTCAGGGACTTTTTTCCGTGAGGATCATTCGCTGACTCTCTATGGTGCTCTATGTAAACCATGCAATGACCTGCAGGAAGGGCATTTCCTTGCGGCCTGTGCTTGTGGCTTCCCTGCCTTTTTCTGAGTGCTACACTGTATACCAAGGGTGATAAAGGGTCTCTGGTTGATCCCCTTGCCAACAACGTGGAGCCCTAGGGTCTGGCTGCATACCACTTCTATGTTCAGGAGAGCCCCACTCCCTCCTACACTTTCTGGCATTTTTAGCAGGAAGACGTGTGGTGTTATCTTGTCAAAGGCCTTCTCAGATTTCTTTTTCTCAGATCAGATAACTTAAGTGCTCAACTTCCTGTTCCTGCAATTATTCATCCTTTTCACTGTTGGCATATAGTTAGGCCAAACAGCTAACAATAATTTTTTATATTTGTTGTTCATTGGTGCTACATTCACCTTTAATCATTTTTGATACAGACATTTGGCTTTCCTTCTTTCTTAAAATCAAGTTATCTAATAGCTTACCTATTTTACTAGTTTTTGTAACTGCTCAGTTTTATTTATTAATTGATGGGGGTTTTTTAGTATCAGTTTTGTTCATCTCTCCTTTGACTTTTAAGATTTCTATGTTGGTGTTCAATTGAGGGTATTCCATTTGCTGGTCTTCTACTAGTGCTGTTTTCTGGGTTCTTTTTTTGGGGGGGGGAGAATAGGATTTCAGATCTATGTCCAATTCATCGATCTCCTCTCTCTCCCTCTCTTATTGATGAAGTGTTTAGGGATAAATTTTTTTCCTAAACAGCTGCATCCCAAAAATTTTGGAATATGGTCTCACTTAGCAAAATTGTTCACTGTTTTTCTGGTTTGTTCTTTGACCTGCCCATTCTCTGGGAATAAGTTATTTAGTTGCAGTTACTTTTTTAATCTTTGCCATTACTGAATATAATTTTTATTGAACTATGGTCAGTAAAATATAAATTTGCTACTTATACTTTTCTATATTTATCAAAATTTAAAGTTTTAATACATGGTCAACTTTTGTGAAATTGCCATATACAATGAGAAACAGGCATATTCCTCTTTATTTCTATTTCTATTCTAAGATTCTATTCAGAGCCTTCACTTCTGTTTATTTTTTGGTTAGATATATCTAGGTCGAGAGAAGTAAACTATGATCCCTCACTATTATAGTTTTATTATTTCTCCCTGGAACTTATTTAAATTTTTCTTTAAGAATTTAGATGGTAACCTAATCCTAACCCTAACCCTAATTTCGCAGATATAATTTTAGTACTGATATTCATTCATTTTCTGTAACTTTAGCAAAATGTAGTTTATCTTTTTTAACAAGGCCAATTTGTGTTCCTGCTTTGTCTTGAGACCCCCAACTAAAGCACAACAGATTCTGCTTCAGTCCCTTCTTTTAAGTCCATATGTATTTTTCTGTTTCAAGCATGTTTCTTAGAAACATAATGATGAATTCTAGTTTCTAATCCATTATGGCAACCTCTTCCATTTTATGGGGGATTTCACCTCATTCACATTCAGTTATGATTGTTAACTGTCGATTTCCCTCCTTCCTAATCTCTGTTAGCTTTTCTTCTGTTTCCCATGCCTATTTGAGAGTTTGTTTGGGTTCTGACTGATGCCTCCCCTAATTTCCCTTCCATCTTATCCCCTCCTTTCCCTCTTGTAACTTTGTTTGGTGAAATGTGTTTCTGTCCCCAACTGTATCGTCCCTCCAGTTAAAATGTAAAAAAGGAAAAAAAAAGAAAAATAAATAAATAAAATGTAAAATAGGTTCAGGTCTCTGTCTCTCTCTCTCTCTGTCTCTCTCTGTCTCTCTCTCTGTCTCTGTCTCTCTCTCTCTCTCTCTCTCTCTCTCTCTCTCTCTCTCTCTCACACACACACATACACACACACACACACACACACACACACACACACACACACACACACACACGCACCCCTCCCCATTCTTCCTTTCCCTTCCCTTTCCCCCATGTATTCCTTTTCTCCTCCATCCTCACAACATAAGAGAATCAATCCTATCTCTGTGGCATGATACCGAGGAGCAGATCACAATCTCAGTTCAAGACTCCAGCCCAGGCTGAGCTTACATGTAGTGGAATAACCAGGGCAGGAACCCCAGACCAAAGAGGAGCCAACAGCTCAGTCACTCTGAATCCATGGGGCCTCCCAGATGGCTAGTAGTGGCCAAGCCTAGCAGCAGAAGCAAAACGTCCAAACAGGGAAAAGCCTAGAGAGAGCTTGTTCAGACTCAAAACTAAGTTGGGGACTTACAGAACTCAGACCAGGAAGGCAGCAAGTCAACTTTGCTTTGGGAGGGAGCACCAAAAGCTTGCAGGTCCCCAGCCTGAGCAGTTCTTCAGATGTTGGAATAAAACAATGCCCCGAGAAAGCAGCAGAAGAACCAGAGGATAGAAACTGAGACCAGAAATTCCCCCCAGACGAAAGGAGAGTCAACCCCCAACATAAAGTCCCAAGTCAAGAAGTCAGCTGGAAGAAGGAGTGAACAAGAAACACATCCCAACAAAAAGTGTGATTATGTTCATAGGGAAGCTGAAGACACAAACTCGAAAGACAGAACTTCAAAACATTTACAACCAAAGCCTCAGAGAAATACAGCTTCAAACAGAATTCTTGTTAGAGAAAAAGTAAGAATTCTAAAAAAAGATTAAAAAAATAACTTCAAGACCAAATGAGAACAATTCAGGAAAAAAGGCGAAAATAAATGAGAGCTATGCAGAATTAGCACGAAAGATACAACAAGCTCTGTGGAAATTAGGATTGGCCAAAGAGAAGCCAAAGCCTTCATGAAGTAAGAACAAACATTCAAGTTAAAAGAGAGAAAAAAAAATAGAAGACAGTGTTTCGTACCTCACTGCAAAAGCAACTGATCAAAAAAGAGATGGAGGAGAGACCATTTACTGATCACACTCCACCCTCCCTGGCCTCCGCTCAAAACAAAGGCTTAGGCATCTTCTTTCAGGAAAGTGCCCAACAAAACTGCCCAGATCTCTTAGGACTAGTGGGCAAAGTAGAAGTGGAAAGAATCCCACCAGTCATGTGCTGAAACATCCAAACAAAAACTCTCAGACGGCCAAAATCCAAAGCTCCTAGGTCAGAGAAAGGGTCCTCTCCTCTTTTCCTAACCTTAAGCCTTTAATTTTTCTCTGGTCTTACTGTCATTGGTAGCTCTTATGGAAGCGGACCAGATAATAACAAGGAGATCAGCCACGCTTGCTTTCCACCCACACTTACTGGAAAAGTTTCTACTATATTCCCACCGCAGGGTCCAAAGAATGGTTGCTTTTGGTTTCAGATAATTTCCTAGGATACTAAAAAAATTCTTCTGTGCCTACAGTTTGTCAGGGTTTTAGCATCAATGAGAGTTGTACTCTGTCCAAAGCATCTTCTGCATCTACTGAATCACATGCTTCTTGGATGGTTTTGTCTATGATACAATTAGTTATGAGGATCGGGTTCCTCAGGTTGAACCATCCTTTGGACCCTGATATAAATACCACTTGAACATAGTGAATGATTTCATGGGTGGAATTCTATGGTCTATTCGATGGGATTTTATCTAAAAATTTTTAATCAATATTCATTAAAGATACTGGTCTATAGTTCTCCTTCACTGTTTCATGCAACTGGGAGCTCAGTGCACAGAGCGCTGGGCCTGAAGTCAGGAAGAGCTGAGCTCAAACGGCCTCAGACACTTCTTAGCTGTGTGACCCTGGGCAAGTCACCCAACCTCTGTCTACCTCAGTCTCCTCAACTATAAAACTGCTATAACAGCAGCTAACCCACAGGGATTTTGTGAAGAGCAGACGAGGTCAAGTTTATAAGGTGTTCCCCATAGTGCTTGGCACAGGGCTGACGTGATAGGCGTGTACTCCCCTCCCCTTCCCGTGTGGGGCTCCTCCAAGGCACCTGGCAGCGCCCTTTTTCCCTTCAATGTTTGAAATTAATCTTGGCACCATTTGTTCTTTGAAAGTTTGGTGGATGTCAGATCTACGGAGAACAGAAGAATTCATGACCAAACAGGAGACAGAAAGCATCATGAAATGCAAAATGGATCGTTTTGATTACATTAAATTGAAAACTTTTTGCACAAACAAAGCCAATGCAACCAAGATTAAGAGGGAGGCAGAAAACTGGGAAAGAATTTTTACAACCAGCGTCTCCGATAAGGGCCTCATTTCTAAATTATATAGAGAACTAAGTCAAATTTATAAGACTACAAGTCACTCCCCAATGGATAAATGGTTAAAGGATATGAAAAGGAAGTTCTCAGATGAAGAAATTAAAGCCATCATACAGTCATATGAAAAAATGTTCTAAACCACTATTGATTAGAGAAAGGCAAATCAAACCAACTCGGAAGTACCACATCACACCTATCAGATTGGCCAACATGACAAAACAGGAACATGATAAATTCTGGAGAAGATGCAGGAAAACTGAAACGCTAATGCATTGTTGGTGGAGTTGTGAACTAATCCAACCATTCTGGAGAGCCATTTGCAACTATGGCCAAAAGGCTAGAAAACTGTGCATACCCTTTGACCCAGCAATAGCCCTTCTAGGGCTGTATCCCAAAGAGATCATAAAAATGGGAAAAGGACTGACATGTACATAAATATTTATAGTAACTCTTTTTGTAGCAGCAAAGAATCGGAAATCGAAGGGATGCCTATCCATTGGGGAATGGCTGAACAAGCTGTGGTATATGAATGCAATGGAATACTATTGTGTTATAAAAAAAATGATGATCAAGCAGACTTCAGAAAAACCTGGAAATACTGGTATGGTCCGATGCTGAGTGAAGTGAGCAGAACCAGGAGAACAGCCAGGTTGTGAGATAACTAACATGGACAGACTTAGCCCTTCTCAGCAATGCAAGGATCTAAGACATCTCCAAAGGTCTCATGATGGAAAATGCTATCCACAACCAGAGAAAGAATTATGGAGTTTGAATGCAGATTGAAGCATACTATTTGCTTTTTTTTCCTTCTGTTTGTTTCGTTTTCTCTTTCTTGTGGTTCCTCCTATTGGTTCTAATTCTTCCTTACAACACCACGGATGTGAAAATATGTTTAAGAGGAATATATGTGTATAGTCTATATCAGATTGCGTGCCACCTTGGGGAGGGAAGTGGGGAGGGAGGAGGAGAAAAATTTAAAACTCAAAAGTACATGGAAGTGATTGTTGATAAATCAAAATAAATTAATGAAAGAAAGAAAGAAAGAGAGAGAGAGAGAGAGAGAGAGAGAGAGAGAGAGAGAAGAGAGAAAGAAAGAAGAAAGAAAAAGAAAGAAAGAAAGAAAGAAAGAAAGAAAGAAAGAAAGAAAGAAAGAAAGAAAGAAAGTTAGTTAGTTAGTTAGTTTGGTGGAACTAATTGCCCAGTAAATCCATGAGAAGAAGGAGCACTCTTCTTGGAGTGACCTCTCCCAGCTAGATTCACTTCCTTTACTGAGATGGGATATTCATCTTATGCACTGGAGAGCCACAAGACTGACAGCTACCACGTGAGAGCTGAGGCGGAGAGACCTCTCCGAGGTCACCCAGCGTGCGTGGTAGTGAGGCCTCCAACTAAGGCTCCTGAGTGATTCCCAAGCCCAGGGCTCTCTTCCTGCAGTTGTAGGCTGACACTTGCCGCCTCCTCTCCCAGCATTTCCCCACCATGAGCACACAGTGCACTTGCTCCAGCTGGGACAGGAAGGAGGACAGAGAAGCCACGCCGATGGGAGGAGAGGGTCAGACAAGAAGACCCAAGCCACAGAAGGAAGCCCAAGGCTGAAACGGCCCCCATCCACTGACTGCGCAGGCACAACCAATCACCATCACAGTGTCCCAGAGAGGTAACCGCGGACGGGCTCACTAAGGAAACAACGGCGCTAGCCGCTCACCCCTGGTCTGGGCAGCTGGGGTGTGAGGGAGGCACCTCCATCTAATCAGCCTCCTCCCACTCGCTTCCAGCCACGCCCCCTCCGGCACCTTCCCCCATGCCGGAGAATGCCCCCAAATGAGTCACAAGCACTGAAGAAGCTACAGCTAAACCCTAGCTTTCTCCTCATCAACAGGATGGTGTTCAGCAGAGTCGCCTACCAAAGGTTTACCAAGCAGACCCAGGCAGCACCAGGACTCTCCTGCCCGGCTTAGAGATCACAGAACAGACGGTCCAAGAAGCAGTGGTGGGCCCAGAGGCACAATGTGAGGGACCCCCCGGCCCGTTTTGTGTCTCGGGATCATCCCCCACCCTCCCACCATCCCAGAGCTCAATGCAGCCCCTCCTCCAGAGGTTCTGGGGAGCCTCCTGCAGGGACAGATGTGCAGGATGCATCAACATCCCTACAGCCCCAAAGTGGTTCAGCTCCTTCAGCTATGAAAGATTTCCTGAAACCACAGAAGATCCTGCACTCTCACCCAAGACCACAATAACCACAGTCCAGAGCCTGGTCCCTCGGTGCTAGGAAGGCTCAGAAGGGCAGGCCCAGGCCCACAGACCTGCAGAGAGGGATCTCAAAACAGGCTGTGTCTGCATCTATGGACGGAGAAGCTAGACGTGTCTCCACCTCGGCTGGTTTTCAGTTTTACGTTCAGAAGCTAGGACGTGGTGCTGGTGCTTATAAACAAACACCCCCCACAGCTAACCGCGGAGGCTAGCCATGGGAGCGGTGCTGAACTCCAGGGCTGCGCTCCCGAGCGTTTACCTTTTGATCCGGCAGGTTAAAAAGAAATTCCCGGTCAAAGCGGCCAGGTCTCCTGAGTGCGGGATCGATGGAGTCCAGTCTGTTGGTAGCACCGATAACAACAATTTCCCCCCGGTTATCCAGGCCGTCCATGAGCGCGAGGAGGGTCGACACGATGGAGCTACAAGAGAAGGAGGCAGGAAAGGCGCTGAAGCCGGCCGCGCGTGGCCCACCCAAGACGGCGTCACCGGCACCAGCGGCGTCTTCTGAACAGACGCCACTCTCGACAACATGCCCCAAGCGCAGTGGCACAGACCACCATTCGGCTCTCAGCCTCAGGAACCCTCACTAGTCATGAAAAAAGAGTCGGTGGCCTATCTGAGCTGAACAAAATCATTGCAGGCATCGCCTCCTGGGAAGGAAAGAAGGTGGGGCATAGACCCCCAGGCATGGCCCAGGTGCCGCCACTGCCTGAAACAAGCCCCACATGGGACAGAAGGAACACAGGGCCCATCTGCCCATCCTTCAAATTTCCAGGGTGAAAATGGGGCAGCTTGAAGACCCCTCAAGACGCCTGCCGAGGCCCAGCCTGCCCCTGCCAAGGAGGAGATGAGGACCCGAGAGGACCTGGCTTCATGGTGCCCACCGTCCCCCCGAAGGGCACCCAGCCTGGCACTGACATGCACAATCTGTCAAGCGCTCCTGGCTGGGCACAGGACAGACCCTCCGGACGGACCTCACTGCCCCCCACCGGCTTCACACACAGGAAGGACGCTCCTCCCACTGACTGGACTCACCGCTTAAGGCGGGGGTGGGGGGGGTGTCGTCCAAACTGGCCCCATATCTGTCCACGTTCTCCTCTTCTACTCTGTCCCGGTCCCCCCACCAACCTCAGAGGGCCAGCACAAAGCTATCCCCAAGAGGTCAAAGATCGCCCCTCCTGATTGTGTCCGTGGCCCCAGGCCGTAACTCAGAGGCAGCACTGACCACATGCCGGCTGACCAACCCAGGGCTGGGGTCTCAGTCCAGCTCATGCTGAATCTGGGACCCAGACTCCACCTCTGAGACTAAAGATGAGATGGGATCTCTTACGGGGAGGGGAGGAAGAGGGTGGTTGGCTTTTTCCTCTCTCTGCAGCATACACATGCACACAAATGTGCACCCCACCCCACATACATACATGTGTGCACAAGCACGGTCCTCCTCACACACATGCATGCACAAACACATACGCCCCCCAACCCATATACATGCTTCCACCCCATATATACGCATGCACGCACACACATATACACACACGCACATGCCCCCTACCTCCACACATATATACACACCCCACCCCATATACATGCACGCACACACATACAAGTGCCCCCACCCCACATGCATGCACGCACACATACACATACATGCAAATATGTGCCTCCACACACACATACACACTTACCCCCAACCCCACATACACACACGTACACACATAAACTACATGCCTCCCCACATGCAAACATGCCTCCTACCCCACATACAGGCACACACCCTTGCACCCACACACGCAGGCATTCCCCTACCCCACAAACACACGCACGCGCACACACACATGCACACACACAGCATGCATGTGCCCCCTACCTCCACACACATGCACATACTCCCCACACAAACACACACACACACACACACACACACACACACACACAAGAGGAGCATGACCACAGCTGGCTGGAGTCACAGATGGTACCCCATCACTCGGCCTGTCAGCACAGGCAGGCCAAGTACCTGGACACAGCCAGGCTGCGGTCTAGGTCCAGGGTAAGGATTCCTACACCCACCAAGGGCACTACCAAACATGCCATGAACCCACAGGCCCAGCAAAGGAAGATGTTTCTCAACTCAGAACTGTCTGTTACCCAGCAAGCGTGGGGTATCCCCCAGGCTCTCTGACCCTATCCCTAGCATGGGCTCGACCCCAGCAGCAGCTGCTGGCCTGGCCCACCAACGGCATCTGGGGGGCATACAACAGCCCTGGGAGCTGTGGACTGACAGCTAGCAGAGGTGTCCTGCATCAATTACACTGCTTCTCCCAGCACGGAACCATAAGCCCCTAGAGGCCGGGGGGGGGGGGAGTTCTCACAGTTAGCCACAAGTCACTCAAGTTACCTGTGAATCTGGTCTTGTCTGCTAGACCGAACTGGAGCCAAGCCATCAATCTCATCAAAAAATATTATCGAGGGTCTCATCAGGTAGGCCTAATGGAAGAAAAGTGGGCCGGTAAGCACCTCCAGATTCACAGGCCAAAGACACACAGGGACACGCCAGCTGCCCTCATCACCCTGGGCCCCATCCAGACCCCTGCACATAACTGCACACGAGCAGAGTCGGCCCTCACGTAGGCCAGGGGCTCCTGTTTCCTCAGCTGTAATACAGGCACACCCTGAGTTCGACCATTATAGTATGAGCCTTTACAAAGGACAGTTTCCAAAGCACCGGCACACCAAGGAGCAGTGAGGCAGCCTTAGAAGCAACATGCTGCCCCCCCCAACCCCATCCCCAGCATGGGACGCTCCCTCCAGGGAGGGCTAGGCAGGATCTGAACCCAGATCAGCCCTGCCCTGGGCTCCATCTCCTCTCTGCTGCCTGTCAGCTGGAGCCAGGACAACACCCAAGGCTCTCTGCTCTCACCCCCTGGGCCATTCTACAGGAATGCCAGCCCACACACCATTGTGAAATGGGAAGGGCGCTCTTTGAGATCAACCCGCCCAGGGTCTCTGAGGCTCTGCCTGAGCGTGAAGTCCTCCAGGGAGGAGCACCAGCCCACCCCACACTGGGACTGCACCCAAACCGCACCTCTCAGCTTTGCTCTCTGGGGCTAATTCCTTTCAAATGCCAGAAAAGCAGGACAGCAGCGCCCCATCCTTCGCTTCTTTCTCTGGGATAATCATGCACGGCTCCTTCCTGAGGCCTTGCACCGTCTTGGCCCCCCTCCTCTGGACTCTCTCCAGGCCAGTGGCCTTACACTGAGGAGCCGAGAGCCATGCTCAGCGCCCCAGAAAGGCTGTCTACCCAGGACAGAGGACGGAGGAACTCTCAACTCCTCATTCCTGGAGTTCTGGCAGCCCAAGACCAGGTTAGCTTTCCAGGCTAACATAAACTACTGTCTAACCACAGTTCCGCCTTTTGTACGTGGGCAGGTCAATTCACCAATGCAGCACTTTCTGTTTTTCCTGATTAAGTTCCATGCTACGGACCCTTCTGGACACAGATTCATCTGGTGGGCTAGCTGTCCCTGCCAGCCTGCTGTCATCTGTGAGCCTGATAACAAACTGCCTAGGCTTTTATCAGTGTCACTGATAAAAATGTTCGATGATCCTACAGACCTCTGGGGCCCTCCCCTGGAACATCACCCCTTAAGAACTAGTTGTCTTCTTTTACAAAGGCATAGCCTGAGACCCTTGATCACAAGCCTCTCTGCGTACCTGCAGAGCTTAGCACAATGCCTGGCACACAGTAGGTGCTTAACATTCACTGAGTGACTGAAATGCCCAGACTCTGCTCCAATGTAGGTAGGTGACCACCCCAATCCACCTGCTGAGTGACCCTGGAGCAAAGGGCACAGGGTTTGGCCTGGTTGACCCCAGGCAGGGTCTTGCTGAGTTCTGTTTCCCTTTCTAGGATATTGCTGTCCCTGCCTCTCCCCTGCAGGGGCCCAGGGATTCTCCCCCATCACATCTGTTGAGTGGCAACTTCCCCCACAAGGTGTCTCCAAAGGACAAGATGGCTTTGGAAAATGAGACCAGACAATTCCACCCCCTCACGCTCCCACAAACTCAGCCAGAAGGTTGGCCCTCACACAGTCGAGAAACAACCCACGTGGCAGCCCAGCCAGCTTGACCGGCCAGCACCAGGTCCAGGAGTCCAAGGGGCCTCCCTACACCCTAGAGAAAGCATTTGAGGTGGGACTGAAGGGGGGGGGGTGTGAACAGAACACTGAATGGCAGAGAAGTAAATCACAGGCCACCCACAGCCCTCCCCCCACTCTCAGGCCCCTCCCTGGGGTCTCCTACGGAGGGGCTCACTCTTCCCCTACTCCCTCTGTGGGGGCACCTGACTCCTCGGGCCAGAGACACACAGGCTCCGGGCAAGTTTCCAAACCCTTCCCTGGGCCAGACGGGGCCTTCCATTACCTGGTCAAAAAGCAGTCGAAGCTGCCGCTCAGATTCCCCAACCCACTTGCTCAGACAGTCGGCTCCTTTGCGCATGAAGAAAGCCACCTTCTTGTCTCCCTGGCTGCACTCATTGGCCAGTGCTCTGGCGACCAAGGTCTTACCAGTGCCTGGGGGCCCATAAAACAAGCAGCCCCTGTGGAAGGAAAGAAAGGGGTGTCTGCATTAGCCAGAGAGAAGATTGCAGTGAGCACTCTGGTGGGGACAGGAGGGACAGCAAGTGCTTGGTGGGCAGCCATCCAGCCCTCTGCAGGCTGTACCCATGCAGCCCACAGTTGGAAGGCCAGCCCCTCAGACAGTTCGCGGGGAATAGGCAGCATCCTTCACCAACAGGACCAGCGGCTTCACTTACCTGGGAGGTTGAATTTTGAATTTTTCAAAAATTTCAGGATACAGAAGTGGAAACACGACCATTTCTTTTAGTGCATGAATGTGATGGCTCAATCCTCCGATACTATCGAAACGCACCTGGGGAAGAATGAGGGGAAAAAAGGCCAGCTGTGTAAGCATCAATGCTGTGGTCAGGCATGCCATGTGAGCAGCAAATGTGAGCCCAGAGAGGCTCCCCCAGAAGCCTCACAAGAATGATGCTTACAGGTCCTACTACGCACAAAAGGCAGACGGGATCGGACAGCACCACTGAAGACAATGTCCTTAAAAATTATAAGTGCTATCTTCTCTTAGAAAGCTCTCGGCATTGGCTGACAGAATCACAGTTATTGCTCCCTATGTGATCTGCATGGTCGTGAGCTTTCCAAAGCCAGCCCTGAGTGGCGATGCGTGACCTGGAAGTTTTACAGCGACGGCCATCAGGGGCAACAGTCTGTCCCTCTGCTTTTCTGTGGCTCTCTCCTTTTCCTATGTGTATAAGACTGGAATTATTCTTTGAGAATTTGACAAAAGTCACTTATAAATCCATCTAGCCCCAGGATTTGTTTTTCCTTTGGGAGTTCATGTATTATTTGCTCAATTTCTTTCTTCTAAGTTGGGGTTATCTAAATTCTTTATCTCTTGTTCTGTTAATATGGATATTATATAATCTTAAATATTCATGCACTCCATTTAAGTTGCTGATTTTATTGGTATGTAATTAAGCAAAATAGCTACTAATAATATCTTTATTTCTTCTTCATTTGTTGCAAATTCTCATTTTTCAATTTAGTTGTCATCTTTTTTATAAAAACCAGAATAGCAAATGGTTAGAAACAGCCTGAGGGGTTTTGTTAATTCAGTGGCTCTTTTACTTTCAACTTTATTAATCTTTGATTTTTCAAGATTTTTGTTTCTGATTTTTATCTGGGGCTATTTAACTTGTTGGTATTCTAGGTTTTTTGAGACATGTTCATTATTAAAACCACAAGAAAAATCCTACAAAATACGAAATGTGGACCTTTCTTTAGCATGGTAAGCATTATATATGGATGAAGAAAAACTAGAGTCATATCCAGTAAGATCAGGGATAAAGCCAGGATGTCCACTCCCAGTACCACTGTCTGACAGAGTCCTAGAAATGAAGGGTGAAGGGAAAGGGAAAAGGGAAAGGGAAAAGGGAAAAGTGAAGTGGGAAGGGAAGGGGAAAGAAGCAGGGGAGGGGAAAGGGTTCAGAGAGAAAATAAAGAACAAATAAAATTATCACTTCTTACAAATGAGATGATGGTTTCCTTACAGAATCAAGAGAGTCAACTAGATAGTCAAAATAATTTCAGCAAAGTTGAGGATACAAAATAAATCCAGGTAAACCATCAGCATTTCCATGTATTACCAACAAAATTCAGCCAGAAGAGACAAAGAGAAAGTCCAGTTAAAATAACTACAGAAGGCATAAAATACTTGGGAGTCCACCTACTAAGATACACATATGATCTATATGAATTCCAACTATGAAACTATTTAAAGAAAAACAGACCTAAACAATTAGAAAAAGATTAATTGCTCACAGGTAGACCAAACCAATACTACTGAAATTAAATTACTTATTTAATACCATACAAATCACGCTTCCAAAATTTACTTTATAGGATTAGAAAAAACGAATACTGAAATGCGCCTCAAGGCACAAAAGGTCAGAATCTCGAGAGAAATAATGAAAAGAGTGGGAAGAACTACAGCCCACGAGGCCAAACAGGCCCCAATCTCCACTACCCACCCAAGCAACAGAGGATCTGAGTCAAAGTGATCCAGAAGGTGCTTCGCAGCCTAATGGTGGACAGCCCCTCTGCCTCAGCCAGTGATAGGGTGCCAAGGGCTCCTCCTGGAGAGGCCATTCATGACCTTCCCACGCCTGCCGCTGAAGCCTCATTCCCTCTGCTACGTGCACCTGGCACAATCAATGGGGTTCCTTCCTTGCTCCCAGGAGGCTACTTCATGAGGCAGTGTGACTGACCATCACTGTGACCTTTCCATGTTCCCATCATGAGGCTCATCACACCTAGAAAGTGACACCCGTAAGGGGCAGCATCTGTGGGACAGGCATCTGTGCCCCTTTCCTTGATTTGGTCTCTTCTGGAGGACTTCCAGGCCACCTGACTGACAAGAAGGCAGATGGAATACTTCCTCCTCTTCACAAATCCTCCAACCTCTCCAAACCAGGAATTTCTGCATTGCTGTCCTATTTGTAGAGATCTGAGATCTCATCGGGCCTTCATAACCCTCTTAGAGATTGGTGCTTTTATGGTCCCCATCTTACAGATCGGGAAACAGAGGCAGACAGGAGTGAGGTTCGTGGTCAGACTCACACAGTTAGTCAGTAAGGACCCAACACTGGCTACAATCTAAGTCACCAAAAATCCTAATTCTGAGGCAACACATCTATGAAGATGGTTCCCTCCATCCTTCACTCAGTGTGCCCTCCCCCACTGGTCCCCACAACCACTGGCCAGTCCACACCGGGCTCTGCTGGAGAACTGAGGAACAGAAGCAGCTGGGGCTGAGGGCCAGGGTGTGGCCTGAGGGAAAGCAGACTGGCCTCCAGCTGAGGCTGACCCCAAAAGTCATTTGGGGCAGCGACCAGGGCTGTCCCCGAGAGAACCACCATCCAAAGAGGAGTCCAAACAGAGGAAATAAGAGGATATTTTCATGTGAAGAAAGGTACCCAGGCAAGCCCCATCTTCACTCCCCTTTGAGCTCAAACTCTGGTTCTCTGGGTTTTCTCCACCACGCTCCCCTGGTAGGTAACTTGTATCTTCTCATTCCTGGGCCCCAATTATCGAAGATATCAGGAGGAAGAAAATGCACAAGGAGATTAATAACACATGAGAAGATAGCCTCCAGATCATCTAAATGATTCCAAGCACCCCTGAATAAATATTACAAAAGAAAAGAAAATCAATCAGCCTCTAACAGGGATGACCAAGAGAGCAGGGAACTCCAGCAAGATGCTCCCACGTGGTTCAATAGATAAATAAGTATCATGAATACAGAACGTATGATTTTCATAGACAAACAAGGGGCTGAGGAGAGACACTTAAATCCAGGGGGTAAGTCTCACTATAGGAATTTGATTGGGAATGACTGGTCTGATTGGCAATGCAAACACACCAAAGTGAAGGACAATCGAGCAGAAGAAAAAAAACCCAAGTTTTCCAAACGGATTCCCCTAAAGTGCAGGTCTGACCATGGCATCCCCTCCTCCATAACCTCTGGCAGCTCCACAAAAGGCGTCTCATGCCGCAGTGCCCTCCTCCACAGACACTGCCCCCCCCTTTCCTTGTGCCCCCAGCCCTTGGCACTGCACCTGGCACACAGGAGGCGCCTATATGATGCTGACTGCCAGGCCACAGGGAAAAAGGAAGAGAAGAGCAGGAGACGAGACCCAGCAGATGACGACACGAATTCCAGAGAGGTCCCTGAGCTTAGGTCTCTGATTCCACAAAGAACATGGAGCCCACACAAGCAAGGGAGGACCACAGGGGTCACCAAGCCATGAAGAAAAGTCTCAGAGGGAACAAGGGGAACCAGCCCTCGCACGTCCTAGAGGAAGGGGAGCCCAACTCCACAGCTCAGGACAAGGATGGAAGCAGGGATGGCCCAGAGGGGGCTGGGCCTGGGTGCAAGACGTGGCAGTGACAGAAGAAGGGTGCCTCAATTCAGGAGGGCAGCAGGCATTCCTGGAGACCACAGAGGTTTCCTGCCAAGGGCTGGGCCTTTTTGTGGCTGCTGCTCTTTCCTCAGAGGCCTGTGACAGGACCCGTGAGGCACCAGGCAGCCGTCCCGTGGGCAATGTGAGGGCAGTCCTGCCTAAGGGCAGAAGGCCCTGACTAGGTGAAGGAAGCACAGAAGAGGCAGCCGGGAGCATCCGTGGTGAAAACTCTTCAGAGCTGTCCCACCACTTCTTTAACAAAGGACTCCAGAGAACAACTGCCATGCCAATTCTCAGCCCCGGCGCTCACACAGAGGACATCTGTGATCATGCCGTAGAGACCTCTTTTTCCTCAGCCACCCTAACTGTCCTTGAAGAATGCATGGAGGTCTCGGCTCTGCCCTCCAGAATGTCTCCCCTCCTCTGGCAGCTCCTGAGGCAGGCCACGCATCTCCAGCGTCCTCTCGATCCCATGGCGCCCTTCCCCAGCACGTGCAGTGATGGTCTCCGGCTCTGGCTTTTCAGGAACACGGCTTTTTCCCCAACAGGAGGGAGGGTGGGAAAGGGGCAGTGAAGAGGCTTGGGCAGACACCTCACGGAAAGACCAGAAACTGTGAGTGGAAGGAACCACTCTCAGAGGTGAGGGTCTTGACAGAGGCAGTTTAACATAATGGTGACCTCTGAGGCGGGATCGCTCAGAGAGAAAACAATAGAATGGGGAATCTTGGAAGCCAAGTGGGTGGATTCCCTACAGAGTGAAGCCAAACAGTCCACAAAGAACAGATTTGGAAGAAAAATCCAGAAGGCCAGGACACCCAAGAAGAAGCTCCCAACTGTCCAGGGCACCATTTGGGGCACAGCAGAGGTGGGGTCAGCCAGGGCTCTGAGGCCGAGGGAGCCACAAAACGACACGGTTTCAGGAACTGTCCAAAGAAAGATTTCTAAGGTTTGTCACAGAGGTGGGACCAAGGGCTTGACTCTATTTCACTATCGTATAAGAATGTTTCACTATTCTTCCTGTTCCTGGTGCTTGGCCATTTTTGAAGAGGACCAGTGGTGTCACGGGGTCACATCTTGCTTTGCACATGAATCAGACTGACGTCAGGCAGAGCTGCACAAAGTCATCAGCCTCACCCTCTCCTCCAGTCATCAAATTCCGGTGGCGGGACACAAGTCAGGACAATCTGGGATGGCCCAGGAGACAGCAGATGCCCCAGCGTCTCCCGTGTCTGACAAGCTCTTGGCGCTGCACAGCACCTGCTCCAGCCACCTTCGTGGCCATTAGAACAAATTGTTCTCATCGGCCCACTCTACCGGAGGAGGTCTTCACATGTGTAGGGTAGACACCCTCCTAAGTCACCAATGGGCTTGAGGCCTGACAGTCACCCTT